GTCTACAGTGTGTATTCAAGCTACAATGTCCTGCACAAAATATTCAGTGTGTGACAATTAAGTAGTTCCCAAATCATAAATCCTCATCCGGTATCAATAAATACAGTAACAACGAGTCAAGGGCATACAGCACGACCCGAATAGGCAGAGTTAATATAATCACTGACACACGACAAGTAACACAAAGTAGGCTTACTATTTAAAGAAGATGTGTAAACATTGATAACGTTAGTTTTTAAAAAAGACAGTTACACAATGAATAACAACATGATATCACTTTAGTCCTTAGGAAGCAGAGTACAGTAGAAATGGCTTGACCCTAAAAATAAAGGGCATGTCTTGGATAAACATGGATAACGGATTCATCCTGCACATCACACCTACATATATATATATATATTAAACTACATTTTGAATACTCTTTTTTTTCGAAGAATCCATTTTTGTTCAAAAAGTGATTTCCCCAGATTTGGGACTTTTAACCCAAAATTTATCCTACGCAAGTAGTATTTTTTTTCTTAAAAACCTGTCATAAATTAAATATCACCTACTCGGTAACAGAAATACTCACGTTTTAGCATAGGTCGTCCACCTGGATTTTTCACAATATTTACACATGTGCTGAGTACAAAAATAGACTTCATGAAAAGCTAGCTTTTGTTGTGTAGACACAGATTCGTAAATGGCCAAAAATGTAGTCTCGAGCCAAATTCGATGGGTTTTTTTAATGTGAAGCCCACATAGTCCAATTCATCATGTATATACCAATTTTAGAGCTTTTTTTAAGTTTCGATACATGTTATATTACATGGGTGATTCATTGTACAAAAATATCACACATGACCACCGTACGCTACTGTACACTGCTACCTAATACCTCGTTTGCTGAAGGGGGATACAATATTCCTCTGTGTAAGCATAAAGCCTTTGGGTAATCCTGTCGTAAGAGTGACACGTCATCTTTTGGATTAAACGTAATGTTGTCAGGAAAGCAAGTACCGTCATCGTTGAGGAGGTTTGAGAACGTACGGTTTCCATCCATCTCGCCTACTACTATGATGTGCTAGGAAATATGATAAAAAAAAAAGTATAGTTAAAGTATTTATTTGTGTATGTCCATTTCCAGCATAATTGAAATCAGTCCAAACAACCTATAAGTTTGGTGTATGTTTCTAGATTACAGCTGTAAAATGGTTTTTGCATCTAGGTTTTGTGAGTGGTCATGCTGTTTTTCCTTTTGTTTTGGTGTCTCCTCATTGCCCTCAATACCTGTATTTGTCTGAAAATTTTGACTTCGAGTTAACACTTTGCTTTTTGTTCCGACACTGTTGTATATATTTTGTCTTCTTTGTTGACAGTTTGTAAGACACTTCATTTGTAGTAATTGCAGGTATTATGTTATTACAGGTTATTTAGTGTTCTCCTCTTATTTTCTATTAATGATTTTAATCCTACGAACTTTGCTAGAGTGTATGTCGTTATATATGTAATGATTTAAACTTACTTTAATTCGTTTCATTTCAACAAATTTAATTCAAGATGGTATATGAATAGGATTGAATAACAGTTTTCCCCTGTCAACTGGTACCAGTACTTACTTTGAGAGTAGTTTTAAGGTTAATGTCACTTTCAATAGCTTTTTGAACAGTTGGTAACAATGATTTGAAGACGACCACACAGGAAGTGCCGGAATGGTTGAGGTGCCGTGCAAGTTCACCTTAACGAAGAAATGGCATCTGGATATTATTGCCTCATAAGATACTATTATTTATACTGGTTTTGACTCGCAATTTATCTTACCTCTTTTAAATGACGTGCATATTTATCTGCTATTTGGATTTCGTATGTTCTTAGTTTTGATTCGCAATTTATCTTACCTCTTTTTAATGACTTGCATATTTATATGCTATTCGGATTTCGTATATTTCCTGTGGATTTGTATAACATAGTGTTCATTTATGTTTTATTTGATGTTAAAACCCATCATCGATACACCGGGTGTTACGTATACTTGCGTTCTCTGCACCCATAAGCATTTGTCATGACAAAATCGAAAGCACGAGGGAAGATATTTGATTGCCTTCAGGCAAAAAAAAATCATCAATCGCTAGTCTGATTTCTGTCCATTTCAAGATATTGTTAAACCTCCCCGGGATTCTGTTAATGAACATTCACGGTTCAAATTAACCTACTTGTTTCATCCACAAGGTCATGACATATTCAACGGGGTAGAGCGAAAGCGTATTTAGTAAGCGTAAAGTGTAAGCCCTGGAATGATGAGGATGTGTTCCTCAACATTAGTGTTGTTAATATCAAAGATAATGCAATATAACACTATGTGAAATGCAGCACTGCACACTGTAACGCTACATAAATATAACCAATAATGAAAGTGATATGTTAAGAAACGTCAAATATTTTACATACCGGAAGTGTACGCCGGATTTGTGGTGGTAAGTATAATGCCTGAAGTCACACAAGCCAATATGATAAGGGCATACTCGGTACTGTTGGTGGAACACATACAGAGTACATCCCCCTTTCTGTACCCCAACCTGTGTAGGGCACTGCCTAACTTTACCACCGCGTCCCTCATCTTCAGGTAAGTGTACGTTTTACCAGCATTGGCATCTACCTATACAGTTGATACACAATATTCCCAATTATGAGTTAAGTAATAGAATGTATACATCAATGTTTACTCAAATACTTTCATATGTAAATGACTCGATTTAGCAAAGCCGAAAATGAACAAATAATCACAAACAACAAGTACAGGCAACTATGAGAACAAAATACATAAAAAGACTCAATTTTAGTTGTTTCATAACGAAGTTGTTAATTATATTGAATTATATACTACGTTTGGTTTTGAACAATTCAAAACATGTAAATAACGGATAAAGATGTTTTTCTATCCTATTTAACTTACCAGGGCTATCCTTTTTCCGAAGTGTTCAAATTTTGGTAAGAGATATTCGGACAAAGATGCTTCCTTGATTTAGATATCGGGTATCGGACTGGTGAAAATGGTGTTTCGGGCGGAAGAGCTGGAGACTTTCCTGGTACACCGTTGTCGTGTAATTGATCCTACAACGGGAGATGATATCATTCTCGGACTACCAGTGGACAAATAGAGACGGGAATACGTGTCCAGGACACTCAATCTCCTAACCGATTTCCCCAGCGACATCATGTTTTACTAAAGAAACTCTGATCCCTTCACAGAAAACAGTCTCACTCTAAAAAGAATTATATGAAAAGAAGTAACGTTTTAACTTGCACAATCATTAATCTCTAACTAGGTCAGTTCATACACACCACCACGTGTATCGCATTGTTAACATTCAAATGACCTTAACCTGTATCAAAATACGTACTGTATCAAAACTACGTCAATCGTTCTTTATATTGTATTATTGAAAGTATAGTGGAAAAGTGACAGTACTTATAATTTGGCGTCTATTTAAGTATTTTCTCTGGGTACCTGGGTTCTTTGTCGTTGGTTCATCATATTTGAAAAAAGACGGGTAAGGATGTCGATATAATAGTGTGACATTAACAATGTTAGCCATGACCATCAGTATTTCTCGATAGGTGTTACTTTGATGGTAAATATATGTAAAACAATTCTACAATAACCTCCTCATAATTTCTCTTTTATATCACCATAGTCGAGCAGGACCATTGGGGAACTATCACTCATTAGGTTGAATGTTTAGCTCATTTTGTAAGAGTGACTAATACATAGATTCATTGTTTTAATTTTTGACATTGGTTTGATTACCACGATGCAATAAGTGGAAATGTAATGATCATCTCATCATAAACCTGTTGTACAACTTTATATTTTTGTATTCTCAGCTCCTGTCATTTTTTTTTATCGAATTTGGGCTTTGATTTGGTTCTAGTGTAGAAGCGCTATGGTATATATCTTCGTTTTTGTTGACGCTGTGGAACATTTTGCCTGTGATCAGACTGTGTGATATTTTGCAAGTGTGTGATGACACTTTGTATATTTTGTCATTGTGGTGACACTGACACTGTGGTGTATTTCATTGTGTATTGTTGCTGTGTTAGTTTTTTATCGTGTTGTTGTTGTGATATATATTATTTTAGTACAGTTATCAAGAATGATAGATTATGAACAACTGTTTAATCAAGGTAGACGTTAAAATCTTTCTTGGAAATCATTTAATGAAAACAACCTGAAAATATTCTCAGTGTATGTTGAAGAAAAAACATAAAGAATGTGTATGTTACCCATTAATATTCACTAAGACTAGAAAGTTCCACATGCTCAGCTGGCTCGTTTTGGTTATGAAGGAATAACAAAGATTTTTGTCCGACAATTGTCATTTATTTAAAAGACGAATGTTTGCCAAGAGAACCTGACAACAACATATTTTATGGAACATATAGTCTACATTACATTTCATCAATGAATAACCAAAAGGTGGCACCTAAAAAAAATCTTATACAATTTAAAGGTGGTGCCATAAAACATCTACTCTATAAATATAATCCTCTGCATATCATCATTCCACAGTGTATCGATTGGCGAAAGGGGATGATGGTGGGTTGATGATGTTGAAAGTTTGATCGTAGTGATGTCACTGTAAACTATTCTTGTTTTGATCACCTGACCGCCAGAACGGCTTTGATTGGCTAGCGAACTTATCGTACTTATTCATTAGTGATTCTCAGGAGATAAATTCAAATTTACTTCCTAATAGGTTTTTCGCCGTTCCCCGATCAGAATCCTGACACTTCACGGAATCGAATATAGCATTTACATTTGAATAATATAAATATTACATGCAAGCATAATAGTTTAATGTGCAACATAAATTTATTTATCTTCTATGAATTAAATTTTATAACAAAAAAAATGTTTAGTGTCTTGTATCACAATACTAACAAATTGTTTACCGTATAATCAGTATTTTATGCAAATACACTTGAACAAATTAGATATATATCTATATATATGCTGAAAATATGAATGGTTTTGTTTTATTAGATTAGTTCTTTTTATTCCACATTAAGTTTATTGTTGAGGTGAAAAGTTTAGCACATGTTCCGTAGTATACGTCTCAGAATTTTTCCAGATGGCGATTTTGGAATTTCATCTAGGAATTCTACACCTCCTCTCAGTTGCTTGTACGAAGCAGCGTTTTCTGTCAAGTAAAACAATTACAACTCAACATAGGGCGTAATGTCTATGCAAATACATATTTATTTACTTTTATGAAAACTACTTATCAAGAAAGTATGAACATTGTAATTGAATGTTCAATAAAGTATTGAAAGCAGTATATGATTCTTTCTTGTGCAACGATATACTATTAAACTTCGGAAGGATAATGTAATATTAAATTTTCATTATAAACATGAATGTCGTTTTGTATCTTTATCATAATACATATTACATGTTTTATATTAAGATAGGTATTTGAAACAGGTCTTAAAAACCTTACCGCAGTATTCTGTAACTACTAAATCTACGATAAAAAATGAAAGTTACCTGTGACAAATGTTGCTATATCCTCGCGTGTGACCTTCGTGTTTGGATTCGGTACTATGTAAGCCCGGGGGATTTCCCCTGCCCTCTCGTCTGGCATCCCTATCACGGCCACGTCTTTAACACCGGGGTGTCGCAGCAACAAATCCTCGAGCTCTGCTGGAGCAACCTGTTTACACGTAATGACAGAAAAATAACTCATCAATGAATAATCATTTTAAAAGAGAAACATTTGACAACAAAACTGTTTCCATATATGCTCAGCATAAACTTAATGGTATGACGTGAATACCATTCTTTATCCGAGAACCTAGAACCTCACTGGTGTCAATAAAATATATTTCGGGAAGACAGGAAATATAAAACCAAACAAACCTGAAACCCCTTGTACTTGATGAGCTCTTTCAGTCTGTCGGCGATAACGAAACAGCCATCTACCCGAATGTGTCCCAAGTCACCTGGTGCGAGAAAATACAATAACGGACTAGATAAGAAAACGTGTCAGTTCAGATGTAGTTTTGTTTGAGAAAAGAAACAAATTAACGCTTAACGCACACACACTGCTTAATACTAATTGTTCTAAAAGTATCGCATCGTAAACTCGTAAACGACGGTCATCGTCCAGAAAACAACAGCTAGTGATGGAATGATCATTTGAAGCAATATTGTTTAACATTCGCATATAAGTACTTGAAAAGAAGCCTTAGATGTTGTTGTTCTTGGTTCTTCTTTAAGCCCTTGACTTCTGGCCCGCAAAAACAACCACAGTGCAAATTTACACCGAAGGAAAAGCTCCATGCTATATAATTTCTCTCCTTTCTACCAAGTCTTTCCAGAGCAGTCCTCCTTAATGTCCCGCACTTCCTATCCCGGAAATAGAACAACTTTCAGTTTAGAAAACTTCCTTACCTACATTTTTAAAAGATAATTGAACTTCCATGACTTGTCCTTTTCAGTGGTTCTTAAACTTTCATCTGCCTTTAGCAACAGACGATTTAGGTTGCACAAAAGCTGAAATCGCTTGGGCCTTCGTGCGAGGTTAGCTGAAACCTACAGCAAAACATTTCGTTTATGAAAGGTCAGCAATCCCTGCATTACATGTTATACCCATCGTGATGTCCCTGGTCAAATTCAGTGCACATGCAGATCATTTTTAAAGATACATTATCAAATCGTTAGGGTAGACAAAAATTTCTGATGGAAATTTCGTACAGAAAAATCTTTGATAAATAGTTCGTTGATCTACATGGCACACTTCTTTGGAATAATGAATCAACTGGGATATGCATATTTGGAACGCGATGGTTTTTTTTATGTAGCTACTGAGTAATATGTCAATGACGGTTATTGATGGGAAACAAATATATCTACTTAAACAACATCGTACCTGTGTGAAGCCAGTCATCCCTGATCATGTCATTGGTAGCCTCCTCGTTGTTGAGATAGCCCTTCATGACCTGGGGTCCCCGTATACACACTTCGCCTGTCGCCCCAGGTCCCAGTGCAACCCCTGTCTCTGGACATACAATCTGTAGACAGTTCGAAATTGATAAACCTATATGAGTCCTCTCTTATACATGTTTTTGCGCAATATCCTTATATCATTATTTAGATCCTGAGATGATATAAATATATTGTTACATGAAATCTGTGACAATTTTTAAAACATATACTTGAATTTGATTTGTTTTGTCCTAAAAATATTCATTGTCCTCGTATACTTTATTTGATGACGTCATGCGCTTGCTATAACCAGTCCTAGGTAGAGACTTTGTTTAAACATTGAAACTTTATCGAATCTATTAATGTAAATTTAAGAACAATTTTATCAGAGTTTTAAACTGTTCCCAAGTTTATATAATTGTTATGATCATTCCTTAAGAAAATTTGTAAGGATAGTAAAAAGAACATACAATCAAATTTGCGCAGATTTCCAATATTGTAACCAGTTATACACCGTGCTCTTTGGAGAAGTACTGTACCTTAGCGCTCGTGTTTGGTATCAGTGATCCCACTGTTCCAATATGGTGTGGAGGCATCGTGTCTAAAGTAGCAAACGGGCTCAACTCTGTCATTCCATAACCTAGCAGAGAGTAGTTTTTGGTATTTATCACAAGCAATTGTGCCTCATATTTGTACATTTTGACAGAGGAATCTACAGTGTATTTCCACATTTGGGATGATGAAATAAGTGATACGGTCATACACAAGTAGACGAAACATGTAATCAGCCATTATAAATAATATCATTCACCGTAATTGTTCAATACTATCGACACTATGTTACATAAAACATTCAGAATTTAAATGGTAATATGAAGACATCACCAAAACACTTGTCAAAGATCGGAAATTACTCAAAATGATATTATTCAAAGAAATCAGTCACTGAATATTTGATGAAGCTATTAAGATATTGAACGCCCTATTCTTACCTTGGCATATGGGGTATCTCAGTCTGTCCTCATACTCCCTACATAATGACTCCCCTAATGGAGCAGCTGCACACAAGTGTGCCCGGATGCTTGAAATGTCAAATGAGTCTACGATTGGATGTCTGGCTAGGAACAACGCCACTGGAGGGACCATGTATAGGACAGTCACCTACCAAATCAACAATATGCATTAGTTGACATGTTTTGTAGGTAAATCATTCTCCTAAAAAAAAAATGAATTGGATATTTTTTTAAACAGGAAATAATTGCTTATTTAATCGAATCTGAATGAACGTCAGTTTTTCCTACAACTATTATAAAAAGCTCCTATCCATTTGAACATTGTTTGTTTGTTTGGACAGAAATACACATCTTCGTAATAATTAAAGGCAGATGAAGCCTGTGTCGTTTCTCTGAATATCATAACCGGTATGTGACACTCTATGACACATCTTTTTCTTCTTCTTTTTATTCTTTGTTTCTTTGCTTCTTTTCTAAACTTGTGGAGAAATTCTTAAGAAAACAATAATCTGCATTGGCGCAATAAGTTGCCTTTTCTTATCATGCAATGAGAAGACACGAAAGTGCAAAGTGTTACTAAGTTTATATATAGATCATTTTTAAAACAACATCTATAACATACCTTGTGTTCTTGGATAGATTTGAGGAAGGATCCTGGTTCAAATTTAGGTAATAAGACCAGTTTACCTCCATCTTGCAAGATGCCCATCAAAATAGCAATTAAACCAGCAACGTGGAACATCGGCAAAAGACAGACAGCGGTGTCGCCCGGCGTTATGATCAGCTGTGGTTTAGAGAAAATTGGGATTTATATACAAATTACAAAACTTAAAAACCATGTTGTCCAATCCATACATATATCACAGACGTTAAAGTTAATTCATAGCTTGAAAAGTTAATGAAACCTCAATTTAATGAAGAAAAAATGCATGCATTTAATCGAGGGTTTTCCTCGTTTACCAGCAATTTTGCCTCCTGTCTTATCCTGGAAATTTGAGCCGTTTATATCTTAAAGAGTTAAACATTCAAAATGCTAAACAACACTATTCCTTATTTATCAAATTACTCTATGAATTTGTGCCCTTATTAGGACCTCTATTATTTCTCATAACAAATAAAGCATTCTTACTCTGTTATTCCTAATTTAATAATCTTTTTTGCACTTTTCTTAAAGGTTTCCGTCACCGATTTCATTAAATTTGGAAATGTTGTTAAGTTTTTGTTTATGTTATTGACATGGATTTATTTGTGACCTGACAAACAGAAGTTTTAAAGGGGTGATATCTAACTTAGTTATATTTTTATTTGACTATTGCTATCCATCCATAATTAAGACAATGTTCTTTCTCCTAAGTGTCGGAGATACCGTTTGTCAAACTCAACCACTGATGATAAAACAAACGTTAAGACAGAAAGCTAAGTTCATAGCTATCAATCGGGACTACCTCAACTTTTCAGTTTTTGCACACCAACAACAGACTATAACATATATATATTTATATATATCGGTCGTAAAACGCCGTTTTTTTCGACTTTTGTTTTACGATAAATTTCAGTTTAAGTGTGCCAGTAAATGTTGGCAGATATTTAAGGAAAATAAGCGAGAGAATAGTTTAAATTGTACTCTTATCAAACCAATAGTGAATTGTAGCATGACGTCAATAAAAATCAACAGAATTAACCATAAAAAATATATATAAAAGCTAACTAAGATCAATGGATAAACTTTGAAATATTTAATAAAGGTAATAAAGTAAAGTTTAATGGAATATACCATGAAAGATATGATAAAGTAAACATCAATGGAATATACCATGAACGATATGATAAAGTTTATAAAGTAAAAACAATTAAATACATCATGAAATGTATAATAAAGGTTATAAAGTACAGATCAATGGTATATACCATATAATAAATGATAAAGGTTATTAAGCATAAGTTGAATATATCGTAGAACATATGATAGGGATCAATAAACTATACCGTAGAATATTTGATAGCGGTATTAGACATCATAAGAATATATCGCAGAATATATGAAATCAAAAAAAAGATGATAAAGTTAATAAAGATAAATTTAATATACCGTAGAATGATGTAAATTACACACACGCGGGTGATTGGAACTTTATAATTTGGTGACAGAAATGAATTACAATATATGATAAAGTGAGTACAAATCAATGGAATTTACAAATATATATCCATAATACAGCAATTCAGGTCCATCGATCATAAAGCAAAGGACAAGTATGAAATAAATTCAATAACATTCGGCTGGTAAATAACAAAAGGCGGATTATGATGTGAATTTGAAAGGGTACAGCTGGAATATACTAAGAAGTATGTAATGTAAAAAGTCATTATTGGTCAAATAGAATATAATTGTTTCTTGGTTAATACGGTATATTAAACGATATTACCGTGACTGTTGAATGTTTGATACAACGTTCATATGTGTCAGCATGACCCCTTTAGGGGGACCGGAAGTTCCACTGGAGTAAGGGAAGAGAGCCACGTCATTTTTGGGATTGAACGTGAGGTTCTCAGGAAAATATGCTCCGTCATCTTCGAGCAGATTTGAGAACGAACGATATCCATCCATCTCTCCTAATGTTATGACATTCTGGGAAGTAAAATATTAAATAGATATATAACAATAAATGTAATCTGATTAATAAAACTTCCCAATGTAACGATGCTTGGTTTTTAAACTAGATATACAACTACTAGATATACGAAGAAATGTAGCATGTACTTATAGAAACTTGAACGTTCATGTAGAAAGCCAAGCAAAGACAACAATTACTGTACCAAAGTCCATTTGGACTCTTGCTACAAGATACCATTAGAAATAAAACGAGTTTTAAAGTGTTCGAAACGCATTTAGAAATACAACGATAACGATATTTCGTTTCGATACATTTTTTGTGTATGCCGTATACGTCTCCCATCTGAAAAGTGTTATTTTGTTTCGTCTGCGGGTTTTCTTGGTGGTTCATTTTTTTTGTCCCATCCATGCCTTTTATTGTCTTTTTATTTCAGTGTTGATACTGTGGTAGGTTTTGCCCATGTGTGCTGATGTTGTGGTATATTTTGTCCTTTTGTGTTGATACTATATTATATTTTGACCCTGTGTGGTGATACTGTGGTATATATTGTCCTAACTTGTTGATACTGTGGCATATTTTGTACTTGTGTTTTGATGCCGTGGTTTATTTATTCTTCTGTGTTGATGCTGTGGTATACTCTGTCCATATGGGTTGATTATGTGGTATATTTTGTCCCTGTGTGTTGACGTTGTGGTATATGTTTTCCTTCTATGTTGACGCTGTGGTATATTTTGTCCATATGGGTTAATACTGTGGTATATGTTTTCCATATGTATTGATAATGTGGTATACTTGGCTGATTAAATAATTTATTATTGTTACAAATACTTCGGAGAATATTTCCATTTTGTTTTATTCCATTATACAGATTAAATGTAGCTAAGTATATACTTAATTAGAATATTATTTCAACCTAACCTTGATATTTCTTTGAAGGATGCTGTCATTTGCAATCGCTTCCTGGACAGTTGACAATAGCGATTTCATGACGACCAAACCGGTAGCGCTGGATTGGTTGAGGTGTCGTGCAAGTTCAGCTTAAATACAAAGTTACCTCGGCAAATTGCATCACTTAATGAGACACCATATATTTTAATATTCGTTGTCATCTAAATCTTTGTAAATCTAAATCCATTCCTTTAATAAACAAATTGAGTATTGTGCAAGCATTACACAGGGTACAGGAAAGTTCTTACTTAAACATATTTATTCATATAGTGTACATTTGTATGCTGTTATCAAAGTTTCATTAACAAAACAAAATAGGCTTTTGAATTTTTACTTTTAGGAGAAGATTGCGATATTATACAAGTGTAGCTATATGCATATCCATGCATTTATTATCATAATCAGTATTGATATACTTCGATATCAATTAGGAGTACAAATTAGAATTTGAGCAGCCAGCAATTTTAAAACATTATTTTCTCTAAAACACATTTTATGTATTTGTTAAGGAAGCTATGGGAAATCCTAACATTCTGACAGACAACTAGTTCAACTATTGAAAAAAAAATAAGCATCACCATTCTTTAATCATTATCGTCAATACCAGTGGGATGCTGGGTATATTAACATATGTTACATACCGGAAGTGTAGGCCGGATTCGTCGTGGTCAGTACAATGCCTGACGTCACACAGGCTAGTATGAGAAGGGCATACTCGGTATTGTTGGTAGAACACATACAAAGTACGTCCCCCTTTCTGTACCCCAACCTGTGTAGGGCACTGCCTAACTTGATCACCGCGTCCCTCATCTCCAGGTAAGTGTACGTTTTACCTGTCTCGAAGTCTACCTGGTTAATATCATAAATAAAATTCACTGAGTATTGTTGAAAATTATAAAACACCTTATAAACACATTAATGGAGCCTCTGTTTGATCTTATATATACTCACAAATAACAAGTATCTGTAATCAAAACTTTAAACAAAAACATGAGTACCTTATCTGTTTCTTGACAAAAGTAAATTGTTTAGTATAAGTAACTAAACTGCTGGCTAAGATAATATAACAATAACAATTTAAGTTCAAATATATAATTTTAACTTACTAGTGCTGTTCTATCTAGGCCACATTGCCAACACAATGCAATCACTGAACCTGACGTTTACATCTTACAAAATACAACATTGATGGGCCAAAAAACAAAGTCAACCTCTCGCAATTTAAAGAATGATGGATACTTTATTTCTAATTTTAATTAATATTGAACCAATATAAAAAAGGCAGAAATCGGTCATTAGCCCCTTGTTCTATAAATATTTACGGTGTGTCCCGCTATAATAGGACTGAGGTCACAATTAAATGCTTCCGGGCATTTTCCGGGTTCAGTACCGGGTTCAGTACCCACGAATGAAGTCCCTTAGAAATATAGGTACTTTAGTAAAAACTATACTATGCCTCTTAGAACATGGTGTTTGTGTAAAAGTTTGGTGTTAAAATACTGTGGAGATATCAATCTTACAATTCTGTGTCAAATTTTTATATTGTGCATTTATTTTTTGGTGCAGGGTGCTGTGTGAAAAGTCCTGTGTTTATCTCTACCCCTGACCCGGAAGTTTATTTTTGACATTGGTGACACATGCAGAGGATTATCTCAAGAAAAAGGCCAACATGCTATTTTGAAATTTTGATATTTTAATCCCAAGGTGTTGCTCTTGACCAGGTTAGATGGAAAGTTGGCTATAGGATATTGGAAATTTGTTATGAAATTAAATGTTACAATGAAACATATAGTAAAATTAATTGTGGTCTTAGTCCTATATTCACCCTGTACACAAAGCGTCTACACGTAAATTCCCATCTATTATATAACATAAGTTTACACCCTACAAGCCAGCCACAAAGATGTAATAGTGGTGTATTTCCCGTATAAATATCACAAGATATTCCATTCAATTTAAACTCTGTAACAAATAATAAAACAAACGTACATTCACAACTCACATACACAAAGGGAAATAACTCTTACGAGACAAAGTAATCGGAACTATACGTTATGCTATTACAATAACAAAATTACACTTCTACGAAGATCTACAATAACAGTTATAGGTAAAAGACACACTGCAATAACAGTTATAAGTAAAAGACACATTTTTCTTTACATTTCAAATAAATTTGATTCTACAATAATTCAGATACACGTATAGGGTAGTCATACCTGAGTGTGGCTCAGAGCCTTGTCCAGTTACGGACACACGAACGTCTACAGGTCTACAGGTATAGATACAGTACGTTATGACACTAAAACAAAACAAAACCCGTCTATACTTTCTCACAATTACACACATAAAACCACGACTTATACGCAAGTATTTATTTCATGAGTATATAGTTTATGAAATGAATTAATCAAATAGCAATTATCATAATGAGTAACTAATTATCATAATGAGTAACTTTAAATATAAAGCAACTGTAGCTAGACAGGTTCTAATATAACGAGACCTTTTTTTATCCCTCGACCTACGTTGGTTCTTTACTAATAAATCCTTAAGATATATAACAAAACCTACATCCTATATTTGTTCTATCTATAAGGAAGAAGTGCAGGTAGAGAATATTAGAAAGGTAAAACACTTACATATAAATTGGTCAGGTCCGTCCAGTCACAAGAAATGTCTGACACTGACTTTTACAAAGAATATCCCGCCGAATCGCCCAATAGAAACAACCAATGAAATAACAGAAACTACATGACGTAACACCACAAAAGCTGACCACTCGGACATTACAATTACAGAGTACGATACAAACGAAACGAACGCGCACAAAACGTGTACATTACTAAATTAATACGGACGATACACTAACGGACGCGTTACACAATACGATCGACAATCGGGGAAAATATTATACAATATCACATACGACATATTTTAATAAAACCCCTTAGCAAATACACTAAAATATGTCCCTGCTACAAAGACATTTGAATTATCTAACGTATCCTTTTTTTTCCTTCTACTGTTAGACTGTGGAACCAGTTACCTACTAGTATACGACGTAGCGCCACGTTCTCATCATTTAGAAACGCCATTCAAGACGTTAACTTGCCTTTTGTACCAAATCCCTTTTTTATGGTGATAGAAAAAAAAAATGCATACAAAATTAAGAAACCGTTCTAGTACTTTGAAAAGTGACCTGTTTCGTGTTTATGTGGCTTCCCTATTGAAGACATACCATTTCTTGTTTACCTGTGATAAATATAACGAACAAATAATTAAGTTTGATCGTGAACTGAATGAATACTTGCCTCTTAATTTAAATCTACTTTTATTTGGAGATAAATCTCTTTCGGAACAGGAAAAAATAACGATTGCAATGTTAGATTGCAATCTAATTATAGATTATTGATTATAGATTATTCTCTTGAAGGTCTTTTTATTCATTATATACCGAAGAGAAAAATAAACGCGGGGTAAGAAAAATTGCATTCTATCGTTAAAATATTATACTAATATAATGAAACTCGCTCAGAGGACTATCTTGGTAAGTGTTTACTACAGACAGAGTGTACAATCAGTCAATCGTGTAATGTATCCGTATGGGAAATAGTGAGAGAAAAAACATATATCATATGCAGAACAATATTGAAAACTTCAGCAATATATATTGTCATACCACTTGGTATTCTTGACAGATACACGTCGCTTTTTGCAATAACATTTCTGTTTATTTGTCTTTAATTTATGGCAAGACTGACAGAAGTACAGAGGGGTCATACACTTGTATAACTATTGCAGGGCTACCGTCACTGTACCCAAAACGGGACACTTGTGGGAAAACGACCCACGAAACTGGCATTCAATGCAAAGACATACTTTATGTATGCAGGTTTTATTTAATAATACTTTAAATAACAATTAAACTGTATTAAGCTTTATTGGCTGCTGATTATCGTTAAATGGACAATTTAAAGGTAATAATAATTACCAAAAAAAAGTCTATTTTATCAAAACTAATATTAGTTCGGAGAAAACATTTAATCAGAACCATCGTCGACACTAACATATTTCAACTATGCATATTTTCTGCCAATATTGATCGTTTATCCCCAAATATTCGCCCAATACCGGAAGTGTCCCCATCAGGGTACAGTAACGACAGTTCAAGGGCCTACGTAACTCGTTTGGTATTTCGCGTTCTTTTTATAGAACCTCACGCCCGAAATATCAAATTATGATAGAAATAAAAAATAACAATGGATAGTATCTATTTATGAAAAATGAACAAACATTTTTGGAACTTATAATATGGTATTAAGAACGTTGATTTTTATATAAAAAGTGTCCCGATTTGAGTACAGTGACGTTAAAGGCAACAACAGGTTTCTAACCATGTCGGGTTTAATGTTTCAACCATAAAGTGTCTTGTTAGAGGTTCGGAGACTGGGCGCATTGCCGAAAACCCGCAATCTTGACGTCCACGCGTGGCGTCTAAACGTCAAGACAGGATCCAGATCACTTGTCTTGAGCATTAGCATGATCGCTATCTAACTGGTACTGCTCGTAAAACGGTAGAGTAAGTCGTCCTTACGTCTGTCCACCCTTCACTAGAGTACGTCGTCCTTATGTCTGTCCTCCCTTCACGAGAGTACGTCGTCCTTATGTCTGTCCTCCCTTCACGAGAGTACGTCGTCCTTACGCCTGTCCACCCTTCACTAGGGTACGTCGTCTTTACGTCTTTTCTCCCTTCGCTAGAGTACGTCGTCCTTCCGTCTGTCCACCCTTCGCGAGAGTACGTCGTCCTTACGCCTGTCCACCCTTCACTAGAGGACGTCGTGGTTATGTCTGTCCACCCTTCGCTAGAGTACGTCGTCCTTACGTCTGTCCACCCTTCACTAGAGTACATCGTCCTTACGTCTGTCCACCCTTCATTAGAGTACGTCGTCCTTACGTCTGTCCACCCTTCACTAGAGTACGTCGTCTTTACGTCTTTTCACCCTTCGCTAGAGTACGTCGTCCTTACGTCTGTCCACCCTTCACTAGAGTACGTCGTCCTTACGTCTGTCCACCGTTCGCTAGAGTACGTCGTCCTTACGTCTGTCCACCCTTCGCTAGAGTACGTCGTACTCGTTGTTTGGCTTGGTTGGCGGTCCATGTTCCTAGAACGTGACTAATGAGGCAATAGAGACGAGCCTTTTCTAAGATGAGTCCCGGTTCACACTTTTTCGTCCTGACGGTCGATGTCTTGTATACCGTTGTTTTGTGGAAAGCTTCGCCGACGCATGCGTTATCGAGAGTGATAGTTATTTGTGTCGATCAGTTATGGTCTGAGGAAGGTGTAAAATAGTCTTTTGAATTTTTTGCAGGGTAATTTAACAACTGTAGGATTCCCGATACTTATGTGTCAGCAGATTGCAATATCCAAATTTTGGGGCAGCTTTCTATGACGTACAATTCCTAAATATCTATGGTTCCACAACTAATGCAGTTTTGATAATTTGTTTGTGAACGATCGTTCTTTACAGCAGTATGCAGATCTTATACTGAACACATCATACCATTTTTTCAAATCATACAAGCATATTCCCTGCGTTTATTTTTCCTTTCATTATATTTACAGGTCACTGTAGTACTATATTACCCTCATTCTAGTTGCATTGCCGTTAGGTCAATTTCCTGACCTCTTTATTGACACGTAGCTTACAGCCCATGTATCATTGTGCTACATAATGTATCGGGGCATTTCAGGATGCCAGGTAACTATAGTACTATACATTACCTCCATTCTAGTTGCACTACCGTAAGGTCAATTTCTTGACCTCTTTATTTGCACATAGCTAACAGCCCATGTATTCTTGTGCTAGATAATTGCTCCGGAGCATGTCAGGACGGTATCATCTTGTTAGGCAATGTTAATCACAGTTAACATACACGCTTCATCAGAGATTGTAGATTAATGTAATATAAAATGACCTACATGGGACACCGTATCTGTTACCTGAATATCTATATAAATACACATCAAACGATTTTGACTGTTTTTCAAAAACAAAAAATCAAGCAACCGGGTCAACAGTTAAGATATTGCCAAGTCAATAGCTTTGACGTGTGGCTATAAGGCATGAAACAGTTGTATAATATGGAGACTGAAAATCAACAGTGTAAATACAGTAAACCATCGCTGATGCTTTCATGTATTGCAGCCATCTTCTGTCGATTACTTCAAAGCTTCATTATTGTTGTTACTGTGTTGTTGATTTGTCCGTCAGTAGTCAACATCTATTACGGGATCAATGATATTCGGAGTTTGCTCCAGAAAACCGAAAAAGTTCACAATCAAAAAGTCGAAACCGTCCCGCTTATCGTTCAGTCTGAGTTGTTTTCCCCATATTTACCTTCAACATGACTTACTGAGGTAAATAACTATTTAGCTGAACAAGAAGACGAAAGCTTTCGATTTCCCTGCCTTGAACTTGCACTGACTTTATAGTAACATCTCTGCGACCCCCAACATACGATGTTGACATGTCGCACTTGATTCGATATGCAAGAGCTTTCTCGAAACATCATGAATTCAATGACGGAAAAACTTATGACAAAAGTAATGAGTTATCTTTCTGAATATAATCTTGTTTTTTATTGGTCAATTGCCAACTTGTTTGTGTCCATATAGCCCTGCACGAGCGGTATAAATCTGTTTCTATCAGTCAACGAAAAATAAGATATGTTTAAGATGTAAGTATACATTTGGCTGAGTCAAGATTCTGTTTGGTTTCTATTAGTTTATTTCTAATTACACACGTGCAATGGCATCTTGTTTATATTCATTTTTTCAATTTCTTATATCGACCATAAGCTTAAAGCTTCATCAGTTCAGGAGACAGAGTGATAAACAGTGCATCATCTGTACATACAAAGCCAAATTCACCGGAGGTGGTAGATTAATAAAATGAAAAATGCAATGATATTCATCGAAAACCATTGTACGCTGGAGAATGATTGGTACATGTGTATATGACAATATTATATATAATGAAAACGGAACAAAAAATATCCACATAATATGAAAGAATATTGAACACTTTAATCCTCAATTGAGCCAAGTATTGCCTTAGTTTACAATTTCTATTATTCAAATAGGCATACGTTCTTAACTATTTAAGCATTGTTTTGTCGTCACTGTTCTCTATATAATATATATAGAAAAGAATTTAAAGGAATGTTTTCTAAACGATGTAGCAATGGCCTTTTAAACGTTGCGAGCATTTTTGTTTATTATATTTATATTTGTTAATATATTATATATTATTGAGCTATTGCATAGTTTATCTGTCTTCTAAATTCACCACAACACATACAGTATTATTTAATGCCACAATTTTATTGACAACCATCGTCGTCGTAATATTTACACCTATCAACCAACACGCACACTCACACACACTTCCATAATGAAGTACATATAGATGAGATCATTTGTATTACCCATGCCCTGTCCTGCTTTCGACCAATGACAAAATATATTCACAGCTTTTTCCACTATAGAGCCCTTTTCGAAGGTAAAATATCGCAGTGGTCAACAGCCCAATACTACTTCCAACATATACCTTGCTTTGTTACTGTTCCAATTATTAAACAAAAAATATCAAGTGCACAAGAGTACGTTGATGCAACGATAACAAAAATAATATATATAACAAACGTTACAATTTACAATATAATTACCATGAATTAACATATGTTATGATGTATAAACACACCCACATATCAGACAATACACGTGTAAACTTACAATATATGTGCAAAAATATGAGTATAATATATCATTAAATAGAATTTAAAAACCAATATCTAATGCATGAAATAGAAAACATTAGCTCAGTTTAGCCCATGAAAAATACACTGTCAGTAATTGTATTTAATGCAGATAAACTGGCGTTCTTGTCTTTATATAATTCATATTTACAACATGTATCACAAGATTTGCATATTGAGTGAAACGTCTTTTAAGGTATTAAGAAGGTATGGAGATAAGAAGGCTGGTTTGCGAAAATTAATGAGCCCGAAAATATATATGTATATGTTGATTTGGTAACGAACAGTACTACATTTAATATCAGTTAATGCCAATTCTTTAAAGTTTCTATAACTAACTGTCGTTAGCTATTGACACTTTAATTTCAGGATCGTCATCTTCCATTTTGCTGAGAAGTAATTTCATTCATCTCATTTCCCTAAGGATCCCCGTGCCACTGCCAAAAAACTGTAACTACGCATTTAAACCATTCATTGAGGGACTTTTATGAAATATAGTAAAGATGAAATAAACAAAATAGCATCAAGAAATTGACCTTGCGGCAATGCAACTAGAATATATATATGAGGGTAGGATATAGTACTACAGTTACCTGTAAATATAATGAAAGGAAAAATAAACGCAGGGGTAAAGAGTGTTAAAGGTTGAGTGGAGCTAGACCGGGAGTACTTTATGTTGCTATACTATTGATCTAAACAACTGAGCTACGCGTTCAACGGAAGCGTTCAGACCTTTCTGTGCTACAGTTATATCCAAAACGAAATTAAGTGGAGGTTACTGTATATAACAAAAAACACAGATCAGTGAATTGGACAGTAATCCATCAGCTAAAATGTCACACTTTATCCGCTACACCAGAGTGTGTTCTAAGTGTCTGGAGTTTCGGTCCCATTATTCACTAGACTATATAATCGACTAGGTTGCTTCAGTTAGCATGCTCCCCAACCGGACTTGATGTTCAGTAAAAGGTTCTTTTATAATTGATTATGTAAAATGTTCTTTGTGACTTTGATAATGTATGGTATGTATTTCTTTTATTTGATAAGAGGCATCCATTTGTTTGCTTGTGAGTATCCATGTTGTTTAACATCAATCCCATTTATGTTGTGTATCAACATTTTGTCATCCATTTCCATTGGGAATCAGTCAATTGCATTAGTCTTTTTTGGCATAACTTTCCCGAAGAATGCGTCTGAGAATTTTCCCCGAAGGTGACTTTGGAATCTCATCTATTATTTCCACGCCTCCTCGGAGTCTCTTGTACCCAGATACATTGTCTACAACGACAAGATAAACATTTCTAAAAAAAATATTAAGTTATTTGATATTCATTAAGAAAACCAGGATGAAGTGACGAATTTTACAATTCCTTTTGTTTTCTTTCTCTTATTGCTCTAGCTATAATTCAACTTGAGTTGTCTTCGGTTACATCTCTTTTCAGTCCATTGACACCTGATATAAAATGAGGTAGCTGTTACCTTCGACAAACGTGACCACATCCTCCTGTGTTAGCGGTTGATTCGGTTTTGGCACCACATACGCTCGGGGAACTTCACCTGAATCCTCATCCGGGACACCAATCACGCCCGCGTCCATGATGCCCGGATGTGTTAGTAGGAGATCCTCTAATTCAGCCGGGGCTACCTGGTTTAGTATAAATACAAAACTTCCTCGAGAACAAGGTAATAATAGTGTAATACATGTGTGTTTCATGGATATTTAACTAATCGATTCCTACGATACATTGTATTGCATACTAAAGTCCTAAAGTATGGATCATATGGACCAAGCAATATGTTTGTTACTTTATCATATTAAAACAAACAAGGACCATCAGAAGTGTGGTCAGAAACATTATATTTTCCATAATTCGATCATGACTTCCTTAGATTTTCTTCCCAATTGTTGCACATTATTTCCTATTATCACACTGTACCTGAAATCCCTTGTACTTAATAAGTTCCTTCAATCTATCTGTGATCACAAAACATCCGTCATCGTTTACATAACCGATATCACCTTAAAAGAGAAATATACTGTTAACTGCATTTACATTTTAATAATAAAAAAAATCTACCCAGCGGTGATATATATCTGTTTCATAAAGTAGACAGCATCATTACTTTTGCAATGTGCATGGACCTAGAAAAGGTTTTTATCCTTTTTTAAACTTACCGCCTCTTACTGTTAAAAAGATTCCTGTCCGTCTGCACTGAGGTTTGGCGTTCATACATTAACCTCCACGTACATGTAATCTCATTTTGGATAAATATGATAAATGACCAAATAACTGAACGTGAGAAACTAAGACCATCCTTCGCTGGAGATAAAACTTAGACCGCAGAGATTTTCCGAAAGAGTTCCAAACTAGAAGATAAGTAAATTGGTTTTTTTTCAAGTAAAATGGAGAAACAAATTAACAACCAAAGAAAAATTCTTCACGCAAAGCAGCTGTTTGATATTGATGTATGCAATGTTTGATTATAAAAAACTGAAAAAAAATTCTCAGCAATGTCAGTTTAATGTCCGTAGCTTTAGATATTGTCCTTTTCATAGTTGGTGTAGACGCAATAGTATACTTTACTACTTCAACTTTAAAGAGTCCCTTTTCATAAATGCTGATAGAGGAAATCTCCTCAAAAATTGTATATCGTTTTTTTTCTGAATTCTTGAACAACTTACGGAGAAACGTTATTAATATATCAAAATAGTCCGCTGAGTAAGAGGCATAAATGATACGAACGTTAAGTTTAATAGTTAAACATGGTATAATATATATACATCAAATAATGAAATAAGCGATAAATGTCGTATCGGAAAGAATGAAACTACATCGTATGATAATAAAACAGATTATACATGTCATGACTATCTTCAGCTTAACGTACCTGTGTGAAGCCAGCCATCTCTGATCGTTTCGTTGGTAGCCTCTGCATTTTTGTGATATCCTTTCATGACCTGGGGTCCCCGAATACAGACCTCGCCTATCTTACCGGGTCCAAGTTCAGCTCCCGTCTCTTCACAGACGATCTGTTTCAAACAAATTCTGGTTTAATTTGCCGTCAGTATCGCGTTAACTTGCATTTTCTATATACATGTACAGTTGAAGGTTAAAAGCATCGACAAGTTCAACTTTACACCAAAACCATTAACACTACTGTTAAATATATGTTTAAGTCCATTTCAAAGGAAGTATTCCATAAAAATCAAATATTGCTGTGCATTTTACAGAATTGTAGTTATTCGAAATTTGAGTGTTAAAATATAAAACGAAACCTCAGTGATTGATTGATTGATTGATTGATTGATTGATAGGTTTTACGTCCGCTTCACTACCGAGAAGTTCGGTTATCCAGCAGGAATTATATAAGCACAGTATGAATTATTGGCCTTAAACCTCAAGAAAAACATGATAGGGGGAGTTACTATTAGCAAGAAAAAAACCATTTTGTCTGTTAAACTTTCTTCATAGGAGGGAGAATACGCCAAGTAAACAAAACTCTGAGTGGAACTTTCTTTGCGATTGTAACTGATGCATTTGTTCCCTTTGTCATGAACTCCTTATAATTGACTTTTCTTTGTTTTCATACCAAATACTCCAATCTGATTGGCCGAAAAATTCTTTTCATATTTCTATGAAAGGAAATTAAAATAAACCGCGCCCGGAACTATTTGCGCTATGTGTTATTGCGCTATAATAAAGTGCCAATATCAAATTAAAGTTATCGATTTTACTTGTTTTGGGTAGCGGCTTTGGAAGTTCGTTTTCACGCCAATTAATTGAAATTTATCATAAGCAATGAGTTTTTTTTTATTATTATTTTCATCGGGTTAAGAAAAGAATTGTTTTTTGCAAACGTTGGATGAATCCGCTACGTCAAAAAAAGTGTTTGAAACCCGATTTAAAAAAAAAAACTTAATGGTTAAATAATTGTGCAAACGTTTTAAATGAAAAGAAAAACAATTTATAAAAACTGTAAATTGTATTTGTACGTTTTACCTTTGCATTAGTATTCGGCACCAGAAAACCGACCGTCCCCTCGTGACTTGATTCCATCGTATCTAAAGTAGCAACAGGACTCAGCTCAGTCATGCCATACCCTGAAACCCAGAAAGGCAGAGTATGGATAAAATGTACGGAACATATATACTGTGTATACAAGTCACAACTTCCCAGTGTTTAAACATATTTTAATGTACAACTAGTTTATAAAATTATTAAACTTCAAATTAACTCCATAGAATTACTGGTATAAAGGTCACCTAGAACAGCATTCCGCTCGGTCACATTATACCGATAACGAGTGAACCAGATGTTACCAGTTGCAGCCGTTCCCCTGAATGCTGAACGTGAAGCGGTGAATAACAACTACTTTCTTAAAGGGATTTGGTATGTCCCGGCATAGGGAAAGAACCCATTGCCTTTCTCACCTGGGCAAACGCTCAACAACATCAAAGCCAAAAGTCAGGCATTGCCAACAAAAACAAAAACAAAAGGTAGGTTGAAGAAAAGAGAAATATCAAAAGCCCAAATATTGCAATGTCAGCAGCAGATTTATTTTGGTTGCTTTTGTGTCCCTAAGGAGAGGGGAAAAACAAATCCCAATTCTGCATGGGGTTTCCAATGTTAGTCGCCTTTATGATCATGCAGTGGGTAATAGCAGGAGCATTATTTTATCAAACCCCGACCTGCAAGGGTGACAGCCACTTTTGCCCAAATTTTAATGATAACTATTTCCTAAAACACCCTATCTGTCATTTTAATACATGTATTCTCCCGCTGATTCAATTGATAATAGTTCTTTAAAAAATGACTTAATACCTCAGCACATGCAACTCTCATGCGTATTATTAATCAATAACAGATCCAAATTATCATTCTTAAAATAAATATTTCTATGCATAAGTCTTTTGGAAGTAGTTTCATGTCACATTTGTACACAAAATAAAAACCCAGTAGAAACGTAGACAACATACCTTGAACAAGTGTTGACTTAAACCTGTTTAAGTACTCGTTATACAAGGAGGAGGCCAGTGGTGCAGCAGAACAGAAGGGAGTACGGATACTGGTCAGGTCGTACTTTTCTACCATAGGATGTTTGGCTAGGAACAAGGCAATAGGTGGAACCATCTGTAGAATTGTCACCTGATCCAAACATGTTTATTTAGACGTTAATTACTTTAATGGTAAAGGGAATCGTCTAGGTTTATTCCCTAATTCTGATTTATTATTTACATCAGTGAAAAGTAATTGTTATCATTTAGGAATTATTTTCGCTTTATTTGCAAATAAGCGCATCCTTTTCGACGTATACTGCTGTTGTCGACTGGCGAAAATTTCGCAATGCAACCCCGTCGGTACATGAATGATAGGTTAGCAACGATCATTCATATAGTACGATACTATTTTAACAATATTTCTTTTCGGGATACTCGTACCACTGCCAAAGACAAAGCAATGGAAACTGCTTTTTAAGGTATGGCTATATCTTTGATAAATCATTTTTGAATAGAAAAGTATACATTGCTGGACTTTTATGAAGGGATAATGTAAGATGAATTGAACAAAATTGATCAACAAAAGTGTTCTGAGAGTAAAATATTCTGCGGGGCTAGACTGGGATGTCGAACCCTGGATATCAGATTATTATACCATCGCTGAAACCGATAGAGCAATTAACCTAGGCAACAGAAGTGTACAAACCCAAATGTGCAACAATTATATCCAAACGGAAATTAAGGGGAGGTTACTGTGTATCAGAAAAACGGCATTGCAGTGATAAATCATTTCTGAAAAGAAAACCATACCTTGCGAGACTTTATAAAATATAATGAAGATGAATTCAAAATATTATCATCAATATAGTGTTCTTCAAAACATAGCGGGGCTAGACTGGGATTCGAACCCAGGACTTCAGACTAGTATACTACTGCTCTAGCAGACTGAGCTACCTAGTCATCATACATCTGGTGAAGAAGATAAGCTAGACGAATTCATGTTAAACATTGTCATATAAACAAGTACTTCGACATTATGACTGCAAATGTTATATGACAAAGATACAAGAATGAGTATTATAAAAAAGCAAGAAACGCAAATTCAAAGTTAAAGTCGGCACGAACTGACAAAAAACGGAATCACTTGCAATTACAATGTTACAGTTAATTCAAGCTTGATTATGAAATAAGTTCTTACCCTGTGCTGTTCAATAGCAGCAAGGAAGGGTTCAGGCTCGAATCGGGGCATGGTTACAAGGACGCCTCCCTCCTGGACAACACCCATCAGAATGGGAATCATACCGTAACAGTGGAACAAAGGAAGTATGCATAAACTTGTGTCGTCAGCAACGGATTTCGATAAAAGTCTGCATAAATATATCAAAGGTTTCTCTTAGAATCAAGGTATATTTTCAGCATTACCTGCATGCATTTTTTGTCAGATCGCTTAAACACAAATGAATAATGCTATGATAGTAAGAAGAAACTTATTGGCTTTTGACAGGCTTCGTGGTATGTGTTTGTGCGGTTTGGTACATGACGGTTCTACTTTTAAATGAAAGGGTTCACAGGTTGTACCTAACCGCCACGTGCATTATTCGCATGAAAAACACGTGCGTCTCCAATGTGGCCACCTATTACTGATGTCCGTTTCGCTGATGAAGCATATTACGCTTACCCTTCCAGAACGCCTGGTCGTATTCTCATTTTATTTCTTCATCTTTCTTTTGTTCATATTTTGCGTAGTTTTAACGACTTTAAAATTGAATCACATTTGGTTTAATTTTTTAAGAATTTCAATCCACTTGAGTTTTTTTATGGACAGTTCAGAACCTTTGTGAAACTACTGTAATACAAAGATATTTTATATGTTTAAATAATGAAATATCGCAAATGATGACCCCGGATGCATTGCATATAAAATGGAAATTATGCATGGGGAGTTTTGATAGTGCTTGTATAGAATATAACCATTTATCACATTTCTATTATAAAAGATATTATGCAAGAATTAGTGTCCTCGGAGTCCGATTTCAATAGTTCCCTACATAAAGATGTGACACCTAAATTACACATAACTTTTATAGATAATAGAATTGTTGTGTTCATAAAAAATAAAAAATAAATTAAATTAAAACAAGTTTGTTTCCTAAAACTTATTTTAGTAATTGTCAATCTCACTTATTATTACTTGAATGTAGTAACTTGTACAATTTTATTTACATTTCTGTTTTGTAAATAACAAAGCAATCTCGTTATGGATGAAATAACATCATGTCAGTAAGCAAAGTTGTGTTTTATTTTAAAAACATGCAATGAAATACGGTTATTTCATTTTCGAGGAGACGTTTAATTATATGATGATGCTGTTTATGTGATCGCGTATTGAAATTATTGCAGATATGTTATTTGAAGTGAAATTACACAAATCTTGTAAGAGTCTAAATCATTATAAAGTTAAACTAACCTGAACTGTTGTAGATTTGAAACGACATTCATGTGTGTAAGCATGACGCCCTTTGGTAAACCTGAAGTGCCGCTCGAGTAAGGCAATAGAGCCACGTCGTTGTGTGGGTCAATGTCCAGGTTCTCATTGTAGAGACTCCCATCATCATCCAGGAGGGACGAAAATGACCGATATCCATAAGCCTGTCCGACTACGATTACATTCTAACAAGAAATAAAAGTTATATTGTTCGTAAAGGCAACTGTATTGCGAATGATCGCAATCGTCTTCATTATATTAGATTTATGATGTTCGTATGTAGACTATCATCTGTTTTGGGGCTTTTTTGTAATGATAAAATTTAGTTTGTGCTAAGACTATGATATGTATTACTTGGTAGACTATGATGAAACGTGGGTTTATTGAGATCAATGTGTGCCCTAATTTGTGTGTTGTCTGTGCTTTCTATTCGTGTTGTTGTATTCCAATTCATCTGAGACAAAATAAAGAGAATAAAAGATATATGATTGATACCTTTTATTTAAATTAAATTCTATTTTGATGATAAGGAAAGTATTTTTCAATGACAGAACAATCTTCTTTCAGACATTTTTTTTTTCTATTTGAGACGATAATTAAAATAACCGTCAGATAATAATTTGTGTTGCTTCAGACATACAAGTCTTGCTTGGTTCATATTCCGACAAATATAATGCTTCGTTTCTCATTACCTTAATTTCGTTTTGCAGGTCCCTATCCCCTGCTATAGTTTCTTTGACTAATGGAAGTAGTGTCTCGATTACAACCACACCAACAGTCCCGGAATGATGTAAATGTCGGGAAAGTTCAGCTGAAGTTGAAAACAGCATGACAAAATGCAAATAAAGTATAAGCCTTACCGCAGTAGTATGATAATGATCTGTTAAATCACTAATTTTTAAAGGGGTTTTTCATTTCTGGAAATCTTCAATTCAAAGGTCCACGAAGTTATTAAAATCTGGTATAAAGCAATTCTCCGTTTACGTGTGTACTTTAAGAGTGCATTGACTGTACTAACGAAGTAGTGTTTTGTCGGGAAACCATGAAATTTGGGCTCCACGAAAATATCTAATTTCGCAAAATTGCCGTCTTTGAACATGATTCATTTGCTGCTACTGAGTTCTAATTACAGTATTTTGTTTTTAAACTCCTTAAAATGTGTTGTAGCTTAAGACACTTAAACGGTATAAAAAATGTATATCATAAATTCATACAAGGGAATGTTGCGACAAAAGAAAGATCCCATGAACCCTCGAAAGAATAAATTAATATTGTTTTTAATAGGATGTTCACATATCTTGTTACCTTTTTTACCCTCGGTTCATAACATTCAGCTGTGTTCTATTTTGGCATAAGAATATATCTTATATTGTCCGTCCATCATCTCATGAATTCCAAAAACGTTAAAATTCTTCCATATTTCCAGACCATTTATGTGAATCTTTGTGTTACACTTATTTAAACCATTTCAATTACAAATGTCAATTACAAAATTAATTCATAAAACATCAGCAAACATTAAATATCTAAACGTTAACATATGTTAGCGCTCGGAATGATGTTGACTTCATGCAAAGGCCAGTTTAAGTTCTTTTCGTATGTAGACAACATATTTTTTTAAATCAATATCCTTTTTGTGAAGCTCATAGAAAACAGGGTTATTTTATCATGATATGAAAATGGTTTGTTTAGTAATATTTATTAATGCCTAACCAACTGCTAAGTAAAACAAAAGGAAAGAAAGAAACTTAAGAAATATAACCGTAGTTATAGTTCGCACTTATATTTCCATCTATTGACAACAGTTCTTGATTCATGAGCATCATGCCTGAGCGCTTTAGAAATCTTTAACATGCATGAAGTCAATGATTGTATTTTCATTGATTAGCATATTTAAGCACTATTGAAATAGTGCAAAGACACTGAAATATGATTATCGCTTAAATGAGTGGTTTAAATAGTATGAATTTTGTAAAATTTGAATTCATAAATATTGTGTTGATGATAAGTCAAAAGCGTATAAAGCCCAAGTTTCAAACTGAATGCGATATTCAATACTGTGTTAAGTTTGGACTAATTCTGAATTTTTGGTATTGTTTGTATTATCTTATTATAAGTAATTATGTTGAAGCCAAGGATCAGTTGACTGAGATAATTGCCGTGATATACTCAAGTGGTAAAAAGAGCTTATTTAAATTTGCGTAAATTGCGTGAAGTGTAAGCCCTGGAATTTTGAGGATGTGTTCATGAATATTATTGTTGTTATTATCAAAGACAATGCAATATTTCACTATGAGAAATGCAGCACTTCACACTTCATCGCTATTCCGTCTTTGCGTATTGCAGAATTATCTTCTCTTGGGAGCAGGTATTGAATGGTACGTCATTGGTTTGTGTGAGAAAATTACGTCGTTTTCTCAAAAATTGATGACGTTACTCTCACAAACAAGTGACGTAACAATCAATACCTGCTCCCAAGAGAAGATAACTCTGCAATATGCAAAGATGGAATAAACGCTTGCATTCAGTTAAGTAAGGTCAAATAGTTTACATACCGGAAGTGTAGGACGGATTCGTGGTGGTAAGTATAATTCCTGACGTCACACAAGCCAGTATGAGAAGGGCATACTCGGTATTGTTGGTGGAACACATACAGAGTACATCCCCCTTTCTGTACCCCAATCTGTGTAGGGCACTGCCTAACTTTATAACCGCGTCCCTCATCTCCAGGTAAGTGTACGTTTTACCTGTCTCGTTATCGACCTGTGGAATTGAATCAATTGATTTATCGATTAATATATGATTTAAGTGTCACGCATTACATCACATGTTACGAATACATATCAAAAATATACTTTGCTGATAAAAGGAATCATTTAATTATGAAAACGTTTTCAAGATTAAAAGTGATGTAACACCCAGCCATAGACGGCTTATGAGACACTGTATAATTATCTACACAAATATCATTTAGTTTACCTAGTTAGTGAAAATATGTTATATACAGTACTTTTCACTACCAGTGCAAGACGAATGTTGTCGAAGATATGTAAACATTTCCTGTTAATTGCAGATATACATGCAATTCTACAAATCAAAATGCAAAGATACGTTGTAAGGAAAATGAGAGAAAACATGAGCACACAAACAGTTGTTAATTAGTTGTCAGTATTTAGTCACTTTCGCTGACTATTCCTCTACTTAAAGAAATATAATCGATATATTTATTCTATACATGGTCATTTAAACTATATTAAAATATTGTCTTTCTTTTACATATACATTTTTGTTGATATACAAATATCATTTTTCAATATTTACAAAGGTAAAATTTACGCTTGATATTTCAGACTGAATGATAGTTCGATAATATTTCAGCACTGTCTCAATTTCCATGCCAAAAGAATATACTCTAGAGAAGGCTTGTTCAAACCTTGTAATTTAACAATGAGATAATTAAAACAAAAATGAAATAAACAAAATATCTCGAAATTTACAAATGTTGTTAGCATGGATAATATTAATATAGAATCCCCAAGTTCGCGAATAAAATCTGCAAAGTTCGCAAAAAATAAAGAGTTTTACAGCAAATTATCATGAAATTCTTGTTATTCGAATTGCAATCGAGTTTTTCGACGTTTCGACGTTTTTCTGACGTTATGACTTACGATTGCCCGTCTGTTCCCAAAGGCCTCGAACTTTGGAAGGAGGTATTCGGGCAGTGTTTGTGTCTTGATTTCTATGTCGGGAATAGGGCTGGTGTATATAACCCGTAAATTTAGTGACGTAGAAAACTGCCTCCCATTTGACCTTCTGTAATCGGGATTCTCTGTTGTTGACCATGTCCGATAATTTTTCTGTCCATAATGTTTGCTGATGTTCCCGGAGATTGTTGTAAAAACACCTTTAGAAGCTAGCACTGTCTTGCCCAGTCTTCTGGTTGGACCTGACATGGTGGCTAAATGAAAACATATTTAATATGATAGATGATAAGATGCCTAAACTAATTCGAATGTTAAAAAGTAATGATGAACTCAATCAGTAATTTTTGCCTGATATTTGAAATTAAGATAGTCTTCTTAAAGCCAATTTTGTTTAACATGATATATTTAACTGATCAAAATAAGTCAAAGACGAACACAATAAAAAAAACAGCAGTAAACAAACCTGTCGTTTGAACTCAATATCGATAAAAGTAAGTTGAACATTCAAAAAAAGAAAATATTTATTCAGTGACCCTTGAAAACAGAAACAGGAATTTAAGACCTGGTCCTGTATCGATGAAATCGTTCTCATGCTCAAGCATGGATTCTGTACTCAAACCAGATTTTTTTTACCTCACTGAAGTCAAATGTAAACATTGAAAGCAGTATTTGCTTTAAGTCTCTTCAAACATTTTTCCAAATCCTCGACAAAATAAGAATTTTTGATTCATTTATAACAAGAAAAATAAGGCTTGAGCACAGATTCAATGCTTGAGCACGAGAGCGGTTTCAGAAGGTTAATCCGTTTTTGCTTAAGCAGCGTTATTCTAGGTAAGTCTTGTGCTGTTAGTTTGTCCGTCAGCATTTGCCAACCACAATTGTATCACGGAAGTCGTTACGTGAAATATAAACGAAGAAAGTTTCTGAGATTATTTTTTCCTCGTGCTAATTTGTAATCTATATGATTATAGATATAATCTGTGTATTCTAGTGGTCTATTTTTGTTATTGACAATACGTAATATGTTCTTATGTGAAGACGCTGTGATATATTTCTTGTCTCAAATGTAAGGTGACAGTATGTGTGTTAGCAGTTAACCAGGTGAAATACCATATATTAATCATATCAAAGTAATACATGTTGTTAGATATATTGAAAAAGTATGTCTGTTATATATTACACAGAGAACCGTTATCCTTTTTATCCTATTGACAACAAAGTGCTTAACTGCGAACACAAGTCAATAAATGTACTTAACCGCATAACCAAGTCAATACAATGTACTTAACCGCATACCCAAGTCAATACAATGTACTTAACCGCATACCTAAGTCAATACAATGTAATTAACTGAGTTGGTGCAGTAGTTCATTTCGTGTTTGATTGTTGTCATGTGATTTTCAGGATTCGACTCCTGGTCTCTTTTGATGCATTGAGGAATGTTTTGACCTATTTTCTCTTTGCGAGCACGTGAATAAAGTGAAGAGGCTACCGCAGGTTGACTCGTGATTTGTTTCCACGCGCGAGTGATGAGAAAATTGTTCGTACGACAAACCCGGTGTGATTAATTGTTCATCATCTACCTTACATATTTCTGCATTCACACAAAAACACCTAAATACCATTTCTTTAAAATGACTTTAAGATCAAATATCATCAATCGCGAGATCCTCGGTCTGTGACAAACGTAAACAATAAAAAGATTTGTGCGCACGAATACCATAACCTTCATACTATATAGAAAGATACAATTAAAACAATATTACGGTCATTGACTTCTCCATATGAACAAGTATGCTTTGACTGGTGATTTTATATCCTAACAGCATTTTTCCATAACTTGATAATAATTTGTTTATAACGGACTATTTTCGTACCCGGATTACCTTTGTGTGGATGCTGTTTCCGATTCAGGACGTCACCTGACGCGAGCAGACGTCCTTTTATGAGAAAATAGTTTCCAAATGAGAAAAACTATTATCAAGTTGCTCTCAACTTCTTCTTGAGTATTTTCATATTGACAACCAATGCAAATGACTTTATCTTGCTACCGGTAGATGATATATAGTAGTGAAAAGATATAAATAAACAATGTAGTGAGAATTATTTTACCTATTGCGAATTAACAGATGAAGATAAATATTTATCATTAAGTTTATGCTCATGTTAACTTTAAATTTGTTATCATGTTTTCATTCAAGGCACAAATTGTTGGAAAAGCATGACCCCAATAACATAGCAGTGATATACTGAGTATAATATGTACTAACAATCTTCGGAAGCTGACAAGTCATACACACATATGTATATGTTCCCGATGTGCACACTCTACCGATCGTAATGTATATTGCACCGAAATTGAAATTAGCCTTTTTTTTTTATATAATTATCTTATTATTCAGATTTTTCATCAATGCAATGTTCATGTACAATGAATAGCAAAACATTTACTTATTTGTATACTCGCACATACATACATAAATCTATATCTGTTATGTCAACATTTGTAATGGAGTACATACATTCTCAGGATGATATTTAACCACACTAGCACAAACTTACATACTCATTTCCGTCTATTTTTACATTTTAACATTTTATTACCCATATATATGCATCCATCCATGTGTCTGACATATATATGTTTCAATCATTCATTGCTATGTATCGTGTAAAAATAGAACACATATCAACCTTCATCACATATGGTATATATCTTTATGCTGGAAACAATATCTGCACTAAATTATATATAACCGCGCATACTGTATAACTCATGTCCATGTCAAAAACACCCATGTTCATGTATAAACATAATTAATATGATTTCACCATACTCACATGCGTTGTACTCACACAAACCCATATACATCATATTAGACATTTTCAAACATTCCTGTATCTACTGATTATTGATATATAAATGCAAAGAGAAAAAATTGCACAGACTGTCTACTGAGTACATTGCATTGTCTTTATAAGAAAGAGAAATTGAGATAGAGATTGAGAAAATAAAAAGAAAGGGAGAACAGAGAACATAAAGATAAGAGAGAAGAAATGTAGGAAAAGTTGGGGCGAGATGGTGGAAAAAGAGGTGGATATTCACTCATGTATATTATATTATATATAGGTAATATATCGGCTTTGTGAAGGTTAGAAATTAAACATATGTATGATGGAGTATGTCGTAAAAATAATAATGATAATGATAATATGATAATAAAAATGTATTACAACTTAATTAGTTTGTCCCATTTTTTCAAGTCATTTTCAAATTTATGTTTAGCTTTTTCATCCTTACCATTAACAATGTATTTTTGAATCTGATAGTTGACTTTTATTATGTTTACAAGAGCGTTTATATTTAATGAGTTAGGTAAACATCTCATTCTGTAAATATACTGCTTTATAATGATGATGATTTCATTATCTACTCGATTACTGGGAAGAAAATTCTGATGAAGAAGGCAAAAAAGAAAAGATTTTTGGTTTACTGAAAATGAGATTAAAAGAGCTTCCATTAATGTGTCAAAACTTTCTAGTAATCTTTGTACTTCTTCACATTCCCATAATATATGAGTAATTGTTTCCGGTTCAGAGTTGCATAGTACACAAAGAGGGGAGACAACTACTCCAATTTTAGTAAGAAATGAGTTAGTTGTAAGTACATGATGAATCACTCTATACTGGAACCACTGAAGTTTTGTATTTGTTGTTACACAGAATGGCATTTTGTAGATTTTACACCAGGTTAGTTTATCCATGTTGTCGAATATAGTATTCCAGTTTCTGATGCCGGATGGTATCTTGTCCGATTTAATTATGATGTTGTAAAACATTTTTGACCCTTTTTTATCTCTAAGAAAATATTCTGAATTGATAGGTATGTAGGGATACATTATCTCATATCTGTATGTATTTTTTGATGAAATAAAGTCTTTAACTGCAGAGACAAGACCCTGATACTGTCAAAAATTGTGTTTACTAGGTGTTTTTGAATAAATTCTACAAATGTGTAAAACAAACCTGTGCTAACCTCCTTTATCATATCATTTATAATAAAAATGTTTTTTCTGATAATGTTTTTTATAAAAAAAACAGCTCTTCCTCCTATCTTGATTTTACTATCATACCAAATGGGAACTTTCAATATGCTTTCCTGAAGAATTTTATCATAATATTTTGTATTTAGTGTGTACCATGATCTGAGCACATCACTCCAGAATTTATTTTTACATTTATTTACACATATCTGAATATATTAGGAACCACAATTTGTAAGATTCTATGTCAATATAAGTTTTAAGTATGGCCTGCCATTTCTCAGAACTCTGATAGAGTCTTCTGATCCAAGTAAGTTTAAGAGAGTTTATAAATGCAACAAGATTGATCATCTTCAAACCACCATCAGCAAAATTTTGAATAATTATCTCTCTTTTAATTTTGTCTGGTTTCCCACTCCATAAATAATCAAATGATATTGAGTTGAGTTTGTTAATAAATCTATCATCTGGATTAGGTAATGATATAAACAGGTGATTGAATTGAGAGATGAGCAATGATTTGATAATGTTATTTTTTCCAATAGGTGTTCCAAATTTTTAATTTTTTAATTTGATAAGTTTTTTGTCAAAGTTAAGTTTTGGTATTTCATGAAGGTTCACACTAAATTCAATTCCTAGCAATACATTTTTTCTTTTCCGCACTGCAAATTAAGTTAAGGTAAAAAATAATCTTCACTATACTTTTTTACTACCAATCCATATCACCTGAGTTTTATCAATGTTCATTTTTAAATCAGATTTTTTTGCAAATTCATTTAGTTCTTTTACTGCTTCCTTTAGTGATTTCTCAGAGCCATCAAGTATAATAGAAATGTCATCGGCATATTGTGGTAATAAAATAGGGCAACTTTCAATCTCGAAACCTTTTACATTTCTATTATTTCTCAATTTTGTAGCCAAAACCGCTGCACAGAATAAACAGATACGGTGCGATAGGATCCCCCTGTCGACAGACCCTCCTGATATCAAAGAATGAAGATATGTGTCCCCCCTGATTTATAGCTGAATGAACATTATTATGTAAAGTTTTAAACCAGTTTACAATGCTATTACCAAAACCAAAGAGAAGTAGAACTTTTTCAATAAATAACCAAGACACTGAATCAAATGCCTTCTCAAAACCAATCATCAGTATCATGCCAGGTATGTCAATCTCCTCAGTATAAAGCATAATATTATATATGAATCTTGTATTTACCCCTATATAACGACCCGAAAGAAAACCAGTTTGATCATCATTTATTTATTTATTGAGAACAGTTTTTATCCTATTAGCTATAGTTCCTGATGCAATTTTGTACACAATGTTTAATAGTGATATGGGTCTCCAATTTTTAAAGAAATGCCTTGTTGTGTCTGCTTTTGGTATACAAGTTATTATTCCCTGTCTCTGCGTTACAGAAAGTTGTCCTGTACAATAATCATAATTGATTGATCTGACTATAAACTCCCCCAATTTTCCCTAAAAGCATTTAAAAAATTGTGTTGAAAATCCATCCGACCCTGGGCTTTTATTATTTTTCATTAATTTTAAAGTTTGTCCTGCCTCTTTATATGTATTTTCCCCTTCTAGACTATCAGACTCCTCTCCAGATAGTTTAGGCATTTCATTATTTTTAAGATAACATGTCAAGTTTACTTACTTTATTGTTAGAGACACCATAAAGATTTTTATAAAATGAGCAAACTTCCTCTAATATGACTTCCTGTTTTGTTATTATGTTGTTATTTTGGTATTATTTCTGAGATATAATTTCTATTTTCTAATTTAAATAAACAACTAGTAGGTTTCTCCCCTTCTTCTGTCCATTTCGCCCGTGATCTTATAATACTGCCTTTAATCTTATGTTTTCCTATCTTCTCCAAATAATTTTTCTCCCATTTAATTCATCTAAATTAAAATTAGCCTTATTTGCATGTGCACTTACTGACGAGCTGTGAGCAGAATAGGCTATATGACGTTATACCTGTACGGTTCCGACCTGAAGTTACCTTACCTATTGATAACATACGGTGGGAAAATAGCACCGAACAGGACGCGAACTGTGAGATATATGTATTGTAGGAAGTGTTTATCAAGTCCTATCTTCGGTGAATAGTAATACTCAACGGATGTAAATTGCAGTCTTTCTTACACATAAGGTGCTGCTATTTGCCTTTGACGGGGCAGGGTATTACATGAGACCTTAAAGAAAATAAGTGATGTTTATTGTGTCACACTTTTTGCGTCATAGATGTTTGTTGTTGCATGAACACATACACAGGTTGTTACAAAACTTTTATGTGAAGTGGCAGATGCAATAAATCATTTGCAACATAGAAAGATAACAATTTTAAAATTTGCATCTGTAAACACTAATTTGTATGTAAATAATGAACGCCTGATGTAGTGTCGGTGTCTTCATAAACCACCAACACTATGTGTCAAATGGAGATATAGATCATGTGTGTAGTATTATCGTTCAGTTAAGTCCTTCACTAGACAGTACATTTCTTTTTATAAATAAGTCTTAACTGGGATACAATTAGCTTACAACAAAACCATTACCGAAACCTGACGAAACAAACAGGCTTTTAATTTACTTCCGTGTAAACAACTGCAAAGTACAGAGTGACGTATCACGGTAACACCTTCTATGTAGTTCACCGAAATCTGACATATCAGACTCAATCTTGTTTTCTCAGATATTATGTGTGTCAACCACTTTACAGGTGACACAACCCGTGATTTTGGATCAGTTGGTTGTATTTATATGCTACATAATATTGTTGAAACCAGCTCATCAATATATAAATTTAACTGTTTGTTATGGTATATATGAACTTACATACAGACAACATTGAAAAAACATCCCATTTATATTAATTATAGTATCGGTAAAATATGGAAAACATCAATCTGTCTGCGAACTGGACAAATTTGGATCTCAATGCGTAAATAAAACTGTAAATAACGAATAGGTACAAGGAAGTCGTAATGTTAATCAATGCATCAAGGCAGTAACCACAAATCTGTCTTAACCATGGTTTGTTCTGAGTCAAATAGCTACGATTAATAAGTTAAAATAAGTAATAAAGGTAAGCTCTCTTACCTGTTGGATATTCCTGTGGACGCTAGATTAAGCTGAGAAGACGTGTATAACCAAGTTACTAAAACGTAATACAAAGGTAAACGCATTGTCTAGATATTTTTTTAAATTCTATAAATATCTCGCTATACAATTTCAGCCTGCACTACGTACGTAAACCGGTAGTTGTGATCTTGATACGCTATTTAACTATGCAAGGAACTGCTTTGAATAAAACTAACAGACTTCATTCAGCCTTCTTTGTTAACATTATACGTCACAAACAGGTGTTATGTATGCAGCTCACATCTGTAATTAGTATGTACAGTGTGTGTAGGTTTATTCGACAGACAGTGTTTGATTCGGGTTAGGTGTCCTCGTAACAGCCAGAGTTATATGAGGACGTGGTCAGAAGGTCCCGTCCATATAGAAAGGCATTGCTTGAAATTGGTACATCTGGTTTTGCCCTCTGTTTTCTTATAATCATGGAACAGAATATATTATTACATTTCAGTCAGTTTATATACAAAATGTGTCATTGCAATTAGATATTTCTTTACATTGCTGGCATCTGCTACATGTAATTACTGCGTTCATAATTTATCCATACTCAATTCTAAAGCAAGCTGATGCCTTGAAAAAAATGAACAACTAACCTTTAATTAACGGTTTCATGCTGTCCTAAATAATAACAAAAAAATGATCGAAATGACGCCATACACGCAATATATAGTTCTTGCGGCTAGCTTTATAATGCTCGATGTGTAACCTTACTGTGTATTCAGGCGATTTTTATGAGAGTTGTCTACCCTGAAACATTTAAACACAATAGTGTTATCAAAACGGGCATTGAATTTATTTATTTGAAACTCTTTTGTGAAGGAAATTAAGTGATACCTAGTAGTATATATCCTTAACAGAAACAGCATCAGTACAGTTTGTATCAGGATAGCGTTCCGTCTTTACTGAACGAGCCAAGCTGATTTTTACGTCACTCGTAATATCTATGTATATATCGTATATATTATGAAGAAAACAAAAACAATATTTTATTTAAACTTAAAGATTTCATAAATCTACTTTATTTACAACATTTTGTCGTGAGATTTATACTATTCCCACATAGTTATTATCACCAACAAACATTAAATATTTACATCATCTATACACATGTTAATTAAAATCTGTCACACGCATGTTAATTGATATCATCCACACTCTTTAATTAACACTAGCCACACACATGGTCATACCATCAACAAATTTCAATAATTTCTGTTAATACCATTCATACAAATTCATGATAAAAACCATCCATTAACATTTATAAAGAATCACATTGACACACAGATTTACATTTCTGAAATAACACATGTCACAATCTTCTAAAACTACATGTTTGAAAACATACAAAGTCAAAACATATATCGTCGATATTAAAAATACATTAAAAGCGTAATAGTCTACATCGTAATGAACAATTGTGCGCTTCTTTTATCACTTTATCTTCATTAAACTTTGTATTTTGCTTTAAAGTATAAGCATTGCCCCCTATTGTTTTGTTATGTATCCATTTTATAACGCAAGTCATACATATCGCATTCCCTTTTTTTCTTCTATTGACGGCAGATTAATTGTCTGTTTAAGGAGGCCATTACTTTTACAAAAATAAAATAACAACGGTATTTAACTTTGAAGTTGATTTAGTTGAAATTTTCTTTTTCACGAGTGCTTAGCATCACTTATGAAATATAACTGATATTCATCACGAAAGCCAGAATATTCACTGTTTAATTGCTTATGTCTTGACACTGCTACCATTTATTTCCATGGCTATGTTTATTATGTCATTTATATGCAATTTAACATTACAATGCATGAACTGTAATCACTTTCTTTTGCGAGAATAATAATAACGTTGATTCGCGATTGGAAATCTTCCACGAATTAAATTTCACAGATAAATACTACATATAGCAAAATAGAATGTTATCGATCGCGAAATTATGTATTCACAAATCAACTACAGGCATAATGCACGAAAAGAAATACACACGAAAATAATTTCATTACCAGTATATCCTAAATTACACCATATGTACAATGTGTTACATATATATCCAACATTTAGTTTGTGTTTCTGTCCCATTAACATTTCTATACTTTGATGTATATGCACACAATGGTACACAAAATAGAGGCATAAAACAGATATATGTTCTTTTTCTAAGTACCTGTGTATAAATATAAATTACAAAATATGAAATATATTTGACGAGTGATATAATATTTACAAATGGCATAAAACAATCACAACATTTTATATGCGACCCATATCAGTTGAATTATTTCAAGAAACAAAACCTCCGTTTCCATTCATTGAATCCCTCAGCTGAATTTGGTACTTCTTTGTTTTAACGTTATCAGTTCAAAATTGATTCCATCAGTCTGGAAATATATTTGGAACAAACGTGTCAGGACTAACGTGCTTCCATTGAACATCTACATATGTTAACCGTTAAGTACAGATAAATGTCGCTGTCTTTGATAACTCTGTTAACTTTGATCATGACTGATAACTGAATTTTTTATATTAAATGATCACACGAATAATAACAATATTCCTATGTAGATACTTTCGTGCTATATTCGTCCCGGAGAATTCGTCTGAGGATTTTTCCAGAAGGCGATTTAGGGATGACTTCCATGAACTCTACTCCACCTCGTAGTCTTTTGTACGCAGACACATTTTCTGGAATATCAAATTCAACAATAAGTAATGTATTCAAATTTCATTTTATATAAAGAAATAATAGAAAAACGTTACATATAGATAATAATGCATTTCATATTTTAATCACGTTACCAGATCAGATATACATATACGATGATAAACTGATTGTATAGAAACAAAGCGTTGGTACTTTATTTATTGTTGCAAAATATGTTAAACATTAAATGTAATGATATCTTATTCGTTGCAGATCTACGAATCATACTTTGGTTTTATAAACACTACCTTCAACAAACTTGCAGACTTCCTCTTGAGTCAGTGGCTGGTCAGGTTTGGGTACTACGTAAGCCCGGGGCAGTTCCCCTGCAACCTCATCCGGGACACCAATCACCGCCGCGTCCTGGATACCCGGATGTTTCAGCAACAGATCCTCCAATTCAGCTGGGGGGACCTGATACAGCGGTGAGAGACTGAGGTTAAACTGACAACGGTTCAAGTATTATTAGCTCCTACAGCGTAAGAAGTTAACTATGTTGGTTCAATTTTTCACAGGTTAAAGGGTCGGAGGGCACTGTAAATAGCGCACTCGCCTTTCATGAGGTCCGTGGTAAGATTCCCCAAACCTTTCCGACCGTGGGAATTATCTCCGGTACTCTGGTCTTCTACCTCAGGAAGACAACTGTGCGTATCCATCCGGGACGATATGAGTGATTTTTTGAGGTTGATTTAACAGTTTTTCATAAAAATTGTAAAATAAATTAAACTAACTGTTGACACCAGTCACGCAAGAAACAGCAATCAATTTCCAAACGATATCTATAGTTATTAAAATATTTCATGTTAACGTTTAACAAATGACACTCCGGAAAATCACAGACAACCGAGGCAAGTAATGTATCTTTAAACGTTCTCTTGATTGGATATAAAATTTATTTGGCCGTAAGTGCACTGGTGGTTATTATACGGGAGAAACTGGAATACCTGGAGAAAACCCTCGATTTGATACTTATATATATATATATATGTTCTCAAGGTTATGTTACCTGGAATCCCTTGTACTTAATAAGCTCCTTCAGCCTGTCGGTGATGACGATACAGCCGTCCTCTCGCACGTGTCCCACGTCACCTAATGGACATATAACACGAACAAGTTAGAGGTGCAAAGATAAAATATACCTTATTTGTTGTTGTTGTTGTTGTTGTTGTTGTTAATTCAAAAATAAAATGCATTCAATGGGTTGTGCTGTCAGAAATAAGTATCAAATTGATTTTGTGGTCATACTCGCCATTCTCCTACTGTTTCTATATACATTTCAGTCATTACTGAATTAATTAATTGTACCGCACCGCCTATGAATTAAGTATATATATTACCCTTCCTATAAATTTCAAAGAGCATATAACAGCTTTTTATTTTAAATTAACGGAGTACCACATTAAACTTCGGAAAAACTCGTTTCAAATTACAAGAAGACGAAAACTTGTCAGGGAGAACATATAGCGATGAACACAAGTTGTTTTATCCTGTCAATAAATACATGTGATCATGTGTAAATATATTCCGGCCAATGCCGATTGCATTCTAGTAAGGGGATGACTATCCGATTCGAGCAGGGAGGGGTTTGTTTGAATTTTGATGAAAAAAAATAGTCTAGTCTTGACCGTCATGAAAATAGGCACTATGGCTCGATTCAAATGAAAATGAATGATATTCTGCCTTGTATCAATAGTGTTACTTAAATTTATAGTAGATTTTGTGATATTTTCATTTCCGTATCAGAAATTTGTGCTTGTAGAAGTACAAATAATCAGCAGTCATTATTCTTAAGAACAGTATCGCAACGATAAGTTTTATTTCATGATCAACTGCTGATAAAAGATCGAGCAGTAGATCAATGTTCAAGTTCAAATTTAAATATTTGTAAATATGAGGAGTTGATAATAGATGTAAAAATGCTTCCGCTTTCTTTTAAACTCTTTGATTTTGATCATGTAGATATTTTTTCGGTAATATTGGTATTCAGAAATTATACAACCGAATGATTTCATTCTGTGAAAATAATATTTTACTGGCTATGCCAGATAGTATTTAATTAATCTATATTTCATCAAAAGTAATTAGGGCTCTCAAATGTGCAAGACCCCGCTTAGCCCCTCAAAACCAAACAGTAGCCCCCCCAAGTACATTGCAAAATGTACATTCGACTGTTTGTAAATAAATGTCGGTCATTGCCGATTGGCATTTGATAGTTTATCATAGAATATCCTTTTTTGCAAGTAACACACATTAAACAATATTTCTTTGCGTGAACTATGAACGTTAATCAACGAACGACAAGATAGTTAAAATAAGAATCCGCTGTACCTGAATAGAGCCACCCATCCTTTATCATATCATCCGTGGCCCTTTGGTTGTTTAGATAACCTTTCATCACCTGTGGACCCTTGAAGACGAACTCTCCTGTTTCACCGACACCTAACTCAGCACCCGTCTCCGGATTGACGACCTACGGCATACAAGTTAATACTGACCATTAGATCGATACGTTTATTGCTAGAGGGGTGGATTGATTTTGAAATTCTGTCAGAGTTTTGCTTGTAAACGAATCAGTGATATAACTATGCATTTGTGGGAGAATATTGTGATGCCGATTTGCATGTTTGATACAATTATTGTTCTTTTTTCTTGAAAATGTTCTCAAAGTTAATAAGTATTCTGGTTATTAACTTAAATGTGAATTTTAACTTGCTAAAAATAGCACACACGCCAATTCACTGCGTGTGTAACATAGCTCGTAGCACCTACTACACTGTGTGTGTGTATATATACGGCTAAACAGGGAGAGGGCATCCGTGTCTAACACAAACATTTCTATAGTTTTGAAAAATATGTCATTGTTAAATTGTATAACAGAATTGATGCAAGGTCTCTTGTTTCCGGAACCTGACAACAGGATTCAGCAGTTTTAAGCACTGCAGTCAAATGCCCAGAGAACTACATGGTCCTTGACCACTTATTCATATATACAGTAACTCCCCACTTCTGATGTCAATATAGATATATCGGTTAGAGCGATAGTATATCAATATCAGTCCAGTGTTCAAATTCCGGTCTAGTCCCGTTACTATTTGTTACGCTCAAAACACTGATCGATTATATTGTGTTTATTTATTTATTATAAATTCTCGTAAAAGAACCGAAAGGTGTAGTTGCTTTTCAGAAATGTTTTATCATATGCTATACTCATGCCGAAAAACATAGTTTCCAACACTTCGTTACGGTTTTTGGCAGTAGTACGGAGATCTTGATTTCGTTGATTCAGCGAAGGAAGGTCGATATCTCCTATAAACGTTAAAAATGGCAGCTCATGTCAATGTGATGATAACGTGGTGAACTGAATGTGAAAGATGCGTCCAACGTAGGGAAGTAACGCGAAACTAAACCACAACATTCCCTATCGTCAATAAAGCAAAGACCGAATCGATTTTTAAAAAGGCAGCAACAGAAGCAAAGGAGATATGACTTTATATGACAGTAAATTGGTATTGATTGATCCTAGCTAAGTGGCTGATTGGTCAAAAGAACCATCGATATAGAATGTCTATATTAAAGTTGACACGATTGTCAAAGGGATCTGTAGCAATGTGAAACTATCGGCGTACTGTTATTGAGAAAATATGAAACTAAAGAAGAAGCGTCTACAGTATGATTTCAAGTTCATGATGTTACAAGCGATGCAAATATTGCAAATTGACTCAAAATTGGCGACCGTCACCACATTTGACGAAGGTTTTCACCAAGTTCAGTGCACAAATTTGACAAAACTAGTAAAAAACAATACATAATAACTTCAAAACACACAGATAAAATACATCCTAGAGGCAATCACAGAAGAACAAAATACATCCTAGAATCAACACTCAATAACAAAATATGGCATATATATAAGGGACAAAAACACAATGATGTCAAAGCTGACAAGTTAGAAGCAGTCAGCAAGGAAAACGGAAAATATTGTACATTATTAACCGACACCTAACCTGTCATTATTTACTGGTATGCATACATCATAAAAAAGACATTACTGATCTCATCAGCTAACCACTCATACTTTGTATTAATAGGAAATTGTGGCATTGTTTAGTGTTTGGCACAGATGACAGCCGATTCCTGTGCTATAATTGGGGAGGGGTTGTATATCAATGATGAAACTACTGATCACATCAGCAGCTAACTACTCATACTTTACATAAACAGGGTATTGTGGCAATGTTTACCTTGGCTAGTGTGTTGGGCACCAGATGGCCGGTGGTTCCTGGGTTAGGGGGAAGTACATCAGTCGCTAATACCGGAGACGTCTCCGTCAACCCGTATCCTAGAAAAAAATAATCAAGTACAGTTACACTAAAACCGTTTAATACGAGATACTGATTTTTATATTCCGCTGAAAAGAAATTCTGGCAAGCAAGAAATGTTAAGGTAATGTTAAATAAAAAGGTCATTACTTGAATATCTTATGGATGACGAATGACTCTTAACATGTCCGTCTATTGAAGATTCCATGCACAGTATGTTTTCAATACTAAAACCTCAAACATTCAACATATTACACAGTATCCAGAAAATAATATTTTTGATTGCACGAAAAAAAAATCAAAAAGAATTATATATTTGTAAGTTAAGTTAAGCATTGGTTTTGTCTTTTTAGATAAATAACTTCTCAGTCGGGTGGTGTTATATGGTTCCTTTACCACGTTTAATTATTATAAACAAGTATCAAAAGGAACATGCATAAAGTTTACTGCATTCTAACAAAGAGTGTTTCCCCATATTTTGATGTTTGATGTGAATCAACTTATATTTCTTTAATTCATACAACAATACATATTGTATGACACATTTTCATTATAAATCACGCGGAGTCGTTTGTAAGGTGAACAAGTGACGTTATAATTATAGTATATACCTTGCGTTACAGGAGCCTTTAGTCTGTCCATAAAGGCTCCAGTGATAGCCTCGCCGAGAGGGGCTGCACCGACCACCACCCTATTCAGACTGGAAAGGTCAAACTGGGACACAGCGGGATGCTTAGCCATAAAAACGACGATTGGTGGGACAATATGAGCCATTGTTACCTAGCAACAAATCAACAAGGGTAGATACCATCAACGCATTTAATCACGTCAGTCTACAATATTCCAGGAAATAATTATATATTAGCTTTAGTAATGCATTTGTGTCCTATATAATCTAGATTCATTTTATTTCTGTATGTATAGTTTCCCTTACAAATTCAATACAGTAAGTCATCATATATTAAATATATTCCACTTATTAAAACAACTTTGATTTGCTTCGATATAATTGTTTCCCTAAACTCTATAGTGGGTTTTTTTTAATTTTGCTCAGATGAAAGGTTTTCCTAAAAACTATAGCTTCTTTATTTCATATTAACTCAAATATGGAAAATAATTACCTTGTGTTCTGATAAAGCCTTGAGGAACATTTCGGGTTCAAATTTGGGGAGGGTCACTAATTTTCCTCCGTCCTGGAACACCCCCATCATGACAGGGATCATACCATAACAGTGGTAGAATGGGAGAATCCCTATGCTAGTGTCTTCCACGTCAACCTTAATCACTGGTCTTTCAAAACACAATCAGACAAATTGAGAAGGTTAAGCAAGTGAAATGATGAACATTTAAGTTGTATACTATAAACCTCGTTATACTGCCACAGTTTGTCCAGGGAAATGTTGGCGTTATAATAAGGTTTGGCGATAAATTGAGGGAAATGTATAGAAGCATTCTTAAGAAAACGAGAAAAATGGACATTGTCAAATTTCTGCGCTATCACAAGGAGACTAACACGAACATATCGCAGCCTCCCACAAAACACACACGCGTGCATCTTGCACACAAGGGAGGCAGTCCATTAATGACCATAGCTGTTAAGGTCATAGGAGTGTATTGCTAAACGGAGATAGGAAGTCGTCCCTAGTTGAAAATCCAATGTAGGGAGACAGTATCACAATTTCCGCATAATCTAATGTTTACTATTAAAGTGATAAATATTATATGCTTATTATTGACAGAACAGTGTGTTCTTTCAATATCAAAGTTTTGCAAAGCAATCCAGGTATTAATTCAGTTGTTTTTTAATCAATGAGTCACATGTGTCCATTTTTCTGTACTTCAGGAAACCGGCTACCTATTTCACTACTGTGAAGTTTTTCAAGAACGATTACTGTCGCATGCAATTACTATGTGTATATGGTTTTATTATAAAATGTCAATTTTTAATCGTTTATAGATAATTAATTTTACACAATTTCAGCATTTATGAAACTGATATACATTAATGCAATACTAATCTATGTTAGAATCATTTTTATTGACATTATTCTGCAAAAAAATGTGTGTTTCAATATTTTTTTCAAAATTCACTCCTTTTTACATAAATTTCCATTTAAAATCCTTAAAATTCTGACAACCTATATTTTTTTTGTGATAGAAAATGTTCTTTACTTCAAAGCAATATAACTACAAAATTTGAATAAATTCTACTAAGAAATGGCGACACAATCCTATTACCTTAATAGGACGTTAAAAATTACTAAACCAAATCAAACCATGTTGGCGATAAACGAGGTGACAAATGAAACATGTACAACAACAACGATACTAGGCGGTGAATTCATAACACAACATCGACAGAAAAAGAGGACAATAGATACCAAGAAGGAAAGAAAAGAATATAACAGGAACAGCGGGATGTATCGAAAGTTCAGAAACATTTAATTCAGGATATGTTGACAGGACAAAATATATAACAGGAACCAAGGAGACACAAGGACAATACGACCAAGTGTTCCAGAACGGTAAATGCCTTTTGGTCCACTGACGATAATGACAACTGATATAATTACATAACTAGAAATTAATATACTGATAATACTACTGCATACCGGCAAAATGTCGCTGCAGTTTATTTTTCGCCTTCTTCGCCCTCTGTAATGAGAGCGAATTTATCATTACAGCGAACAATTGTAAACAACAGAATACATATCGTAATTAAATGTGAAGGGCGGGTTTATTTTTGGGCGAAAATGGATTTCACCCTCGAAGGACGAAAATTTGACTAGGCAAAAATGTCCCTGTATACAGTATGTTAACGTGAAAAATAATTTAAAGAGATAACTTGATTTCATAGCATAATGTATAAGGTACAATATCACCATAAAACATTGTATAAGTTATGTACCTGAACTGTTGAAGGTTAGCCACCAGGTTATGATGGGTGAGCTGAACTCCCTTGGGTAGCCCAGTCGTTCCACTGGAGTAGGGTAAAACTACCACGTCATTCATCGGATCTATGTTAAGATTTTCAGGGAAAGATTTCCCATCATCCTCCAAAAGTGTGGAAAAAGGACGGCAGCCTTCTGCTTCACCAATGACTATTACTTCCTGTAGAGATCAGTTCACCATGGTAACCATTCGATTACAACATTTGTGTTTACAAAAATGTACATATCCATTGATTTGTTTACTGAAGTTTAAGGCTGTAACATTGGATGTAGCGCAAGGAAGCGTGTACATTAGGAAAACCTTGTACTAGACCACGTATAATAGAGGTAGCCAATCAAACAGGATGAGATATATGTATTAATATGGAATTCCAACAACAATATAAGTATTTAATTTGAAGTTGTTCCAGTAGGAATTCTAAACGAATCTCTTCCCTAAGAAACGGAATGTGTTAAAATAAACAAAATACAATTAATTATCTCTAAGTCTTACCCGGTGTTATGCCTGTCATGCATTGATAAATACCTTAATAGCTGCCTTCAGTTCAGGATCGCTGTCCATTGCTGCCTTGGCAACTGGTAATAGAACATCAACTACAACCAAACTGGTCGATCCAGAGTGCTTTAAATGGCGCGCAAGCTCCGCTGTAACATTAATGAAAGCATCGTACAAGTACTGAGGGTCATAAAAAGAAGGGTTCAAGTTATCAACGACGGGTAATCTCTGATGTGGCATAAATGAAGAAGCAGAAAATATACTGAGGAGATAGTAACACCAATGAAAACACGTATCCATGTAGAGGAGGGCTAAGCGAATACGGAATTCCCACAACCCTGCCGCATTTTGAATCTACTTCATCTATAGTTTTATTAATTCTGGTTAGCACATTTGATAGGACCGACCGCTAACTGACAGTCGTAGGACAAGGAAGAAAGTGTCTCGGAAGCAATTGCATACCTGAAGAAACTACTTGCAAAACCAGATGCACAATGCACTTATGCAATCTAAACAACTAGGAGAACATTAATCTACGACATTGCAGAAATATATGCCGGGTTGGCGGTGATCAGTATAACACCTACAAGAATTGCATGCCGGTCCATGAGTGTATGCCGGTTTTGCAGTTGTCACCAAGACACCGACCAGGATTATATGCTGGGTTGGCGATGGTTAGTTAGACACCGGCCAGGATTATATGCCGGGTTGGCGATGGTCAGTTAGACACGTAACAGGAGTATATCTGGGTTGGCGATGGTCAGTTAGACACCGGCCAGGATTATATGCCGGGTTGGCGATGGTCAGTTAGACATGTAACAGGAGTATATGCTGGGTTGGCGATGGTCAGTTAGACACGTAACAGGAGTATATGCCGGGTTGGCGGTGGGTGATTAGTAAGCTAGCTACAAAGAATGTTTGCCGGGTTCGCAGTGGTCAGTAGGACACCTACCAGCGATATACGATGGGTTGGCAGTGGTCAGCAACATACGTACCAAGAGTGAATGTCAGGTTAGCAATGGTCAGTAAGACACGTACCAGGAGTGTATGCTGGGTTTGCGGTGGTCAGTAAAATACCGGACGCTGCACATGCCAGAAGTAAGATGCAGTACTCTGTGTTGTTGCTAGAATGCATTGCCATAACATCCCCTTTCTTGTAGCCGAGTTTGTTAAGTGCACTAGCCACGCGAATTGTGGCTGCTTTCAGCTGAGGGTAACTGTACGTCTTGCCGTTAGCGTAGTCAACCTGAAATATAAGAAATGTTTGTTTTTAATTTCAACATTAAGAACGCTGCATCAGGTTGTTGTTTTTAAAGTGAAACAAGAGCAATGATTGTGAAACTTTAAAGTCATTCTGTTGTGTTGTACGAGACCCATATTTCAGAAATGTATAACCATGGTTTTATATTAGTGTTTTTTAAATCAAAACAATTTATTATCATTATTTCATAATTCACCCGAGACTTATATGCTTGGGGAGTGAGTCAGCAACCTTAAATGAACTTCCACTTCTCATTTATTAAATATATCATATATCTCTCTTCGTGTGGAACTTTTTTAATGGAGATTCAACTTAAGTTAAGTAACTTTTTAAACTAAAACTGGATATACTTACCAGGGCAATTTTGTCGCCGAAATTATCTAATTTTGTCAGCAAATATTCGCCAAGGCTTCTGTTATCTAGTGCCACATCAGGAAGACTGCTTTTGAAAATGGTTTTAGTTGAGCTTGATGTACTGAACGGCTTTGAATGAGCATCCCCTACTACCGCAGATCGCCTCATAGTAGAAAGAAGTCTAGAAAACTGTCTGTGTACATGTCTGGTGTCGTGGGAAGATCGTGCTGCCGTCTGCAGCAAGAGTGGCAAAGCTCCTCGTGATATAGAGCTGATTTTGCTGCCGGATGATGCCATGGTAAATTATGAGGTCAACTTGCTGAAATGAAGATGCAATTTAATTATATTTCATATTTAATTGCAATGGGCTGGACGATCAAGATATATAAAATTTGTTTAACTTAGATGATCAACCTGTATTTAATTGATATGTCTTGGGCGATCAAGCTATATTTAATTGATATGTCTTGGGCGATCAAGCTATATTTAATTGATATGTCTTGGACGATCAAGCTATATGTAATTACAATGTCTTGGACGATCAAGCTATATATAATTGTAATATCTTGGACGATCAAGCTATATTCAATTGTTTAATTGATATGTCTTGGACGATCAAACTATATTCAATCACAATGCCTTGGACGATCAAGCTATATTTAATTACAATGTCTTGGAAGATCAAACTGTATTCAATTGCAATTCCTTGGACGATAAAAACATGTAGGAAGTCATGGAGTTTTTTCGTTCAAACAGAAAACTTTACTAGTTCTTGTAAATATTCCTCTTCTGTAGAATACAATAGCCGATTTACAGAGTTAGAGGAGTCTCCAATCCTATAGTTAGTAGATTTATTGTTCCACCAAAATCAACCAAACATTAGTTCTTTTGAAAATGTATACGAAATAATGTCGTCTTCATTGGAATATGTTATCAGACTCAAGGTTAAATATTGAACCAATGAGTATACATTTTACAGACGAGATATTCGTAAATATCCGTATGGGGAAAAAAACTATTTCTTTTAGGGTTGCACCACTTAAGAAACAGCAAACGATTACACTTCCGGAGATTCTGGTTTCGCCTTTGATATTTTTGTCGGAGATCAATGATGTTATTTTTCTGTTTGTTTTAGTATGCGCACGGCTCCTTGTTTCTTTTTGTCCGATTGATTTGTTTTTATTAGTTTTGATATTTCCTCAGTTCCTGTTTATGATTTTTATTTTAATGGGATTTGTGGTCCTGTTTTACCTTTTTGTGTTTACGCGGTGGTAGAAATGTACAATGTATGTCCATGTTATATTTTAGGCAGAAAAGATAGGATGATATTTCTAATATTTGAGACGTGAGTTACCTTTGGATTGGAGCATGGTGATATACAGTGCTTCAAAGTCCAAAGAACTTTTCAAGGAACCTTTTCAGATAAACATGACAGCATTCATTGTAGGAAAAGGCGCCATCATTGTCACATATCACGTAATATGATGTACAAGATCGTAAATCAGACAGTTAGTGAAGGTACTACAACTTCTTTCTATCCATTTTAAGATACAAAATAAATTAAAAATATTACGAAAGATATTAACAATCTGTGCGGGAAAAATCCCTTTTGTATTTAAGCATGTTTAATGAATGCAGATATAATAGAATTATATTTTCTGGGTAAATTATTTCTTAAGAAACTTGCTTAAAAAAATAAATGAAGTTTGTAAGTCTGCAAAATCTGTTTATAAGATTCAGTATACCAATGCATGGGGTAAGAAAAAATCTATATTATTATATCATTTTTCTAGCTATTTCGCATGACACGACATGGTGATACATCCTTATGACACGCCGACTGGTAAACTGCGAGACCAATAGTAATAAGTAAATAAACTGAGACCAGGATATACCATGTAGACTGCCGAAAAGGTCTCCAAATGTTTCATATACATTAACATACCCATTTTTACTCGGCACATTACAGCCTATAAGCCGCTTCGTTGAGATCTACGATTTAAGTTCCTGGTAACGTTGAGTTGATTTCTTCAAGCCACTTTGATAGTATCGTCAATGTTTAAAATGATACAAAATATCCCACAGATTGGCTGTAGGAATGTGTCATCAGAATACAGCATCAAACACCAAGCGGAAAATGAGCCATTACTTCAATAGGGTTATTAAAACGTACGTACTGAATTATTGGGGTACTCAAGTCTGGTTTGTCAGTGATGTATTGGCGAAATATCAAGATTGAAGTCAAGTTCAATATACAAGTATAATTAAATGTTTGTACACAATTACTACAAGAATGTTACTAGGCTTGTCGCTGACTGATAATATGTAATCAGACTAAGATATGTAATATGAAAGTGCTATATGAGATCAATTAACCTGTAAGAATAAAGTTAACCTATATTTACATCGTTATTTTTTCTGCAGAAACGACTTCATTTGAAGGTGATGAACATACACGACATACGAAATATTTACTTGCATTAACTCACCTCTGACAGCGACAGATAAACAGTTAGATGATTACCTACCCTTTTGGACTCGCGTTATCTCGTTGACCTGGGAACGTCCCGACTGAATATGTCAACGAGCTAGTTTGTCTGGTACAAGGGGCAGTGCGATTTCTATCTGTATTCTAGATCATTACAACTGTCAACATAGCCTATGGTGTCAATATACAGTCAAACGTTGCTATTATGAGCTCTTATTCAACAGATCGAGACCCTCTGCGCGCTTCCATCCGGGCCAAAAAGGGTGATTAATATCAATTGGAATAATAACTAGTTTCATATATAATTGTTGTAAAATAAATAGAGTTAATAATTATTCAACAGAGGACGGGTCATGGTAACATGTGTAAAAATAAAAATGCATTCCTTAAGAGATTGATTATTAAGACAAATGTAGTTATTCTTCTTCCATTTAGATACAAGTATGCATTTGGCATTTACATGTACCTCATACCTTACTACTTCAGGTATTTGATGTCCAGTAACGCTGATGAGAATGTATTTACTTTAACATGGTGAATCATATCAGGTACACTATCTTTGGTATGAATATTTTTTTAATTTTCATTCCTAGTCCAAAAGGCTATTTTTACAAGGTGGCGTTTAATTAATGTATCTTCATATTTTTTTTTCATTAATCACAGCAATTAGCGTTGTTTTATTTTACAATCGGACAAGCTGAATCTTTAGTTGGTATTGGTCGTGACAGAGGTGAGTGTAATTATGTCTTTTGATCATAGTTCAATTACCACGGGTGTTCTGATATTGTTAATCACTTGTATGAGAGAAAATTGATTTATTGGGAGTAAAGCAAGATGGATTATATAACGAAGATGTGAAAACGTTGGAACAAATGAGAAATTAGAGGCCTTAGGCCCGAGTTAGTTATTTTGTGTCGTAACATTCTCTAATCCTAGTCTTTTCGAGTAGAGTATAAAAAATATCACAACGCCAACACGTATGGGACAATCTGAGCTTGAAGTTTATACTTCATTATAAAAAAAACAACGAACTGGTTAGTTAAAGTTAAAGACCTGAACAAAATAATAGCAGTTAACGGACATGCGTAGTAAAATTTCTAAGTGTGGTCGATGAAATACTAGACCAAGGGAAGAGAAGTGTTCTAAACAAGACATGAATTAGGTGATGAATAACATTATCTGGTCAAAGGCGAAAATCCATGAATACGTTTTAACACGTAAACTAATGACTCAATCTTGCCACGAGATGCCAAAACACATGCAAGTTTCACACTTGATTCAGAAGCAGAAAACGAATTTATTCCTATGGTTAAAATTGTTAATGTTATTATGTATTTATGCACTCAAGCGTTCATGTATTGATATGTGTATGGTTGTGGTATTGATTGTATGATACAACTACTAGAAATTAAATACATTTCAGTTTGATAATAAAAAAATGATAGTATTTTGTCCTAGGCCAAACCAGTGCTTCAAATAGTTTTCAAGTCAGTGTATGTTGTTGACGCTGTGGTGTATGAGCTGTGTCATTTTAGTGCAGCTGTGTTTACCCGTTGTCAGTTTAATGTGACCGGGCGGAATGCTGTGCTGGGTGCCTTCGGCACGATATTTCAGTAAGATAGCACTATAAAGTCGGCATCAGATCCGCGCTTTCATAAGGAGGCAAAATCACCAACATACCCGTTCTCCGCCGGCACACATACACACATGCACGCTCACACAACACACATGGAGGCACCTCCTTATATGACCTTAGCTTTTAATAGGACGTTAAACAAAATAATACCAAAAACCAAACCGAACCAAACCAGTGGTGTATGATTTATACTAAAGGGTATTGAGGTTGTTGTATGATTTGTGTCATTTTATTGCAGCTGTGGTTGTTATTTAACTCATTGTGTTTACGCTTTGGTGTAGTATCATTTTGGTCAATTTGGGTCACTGTAAGTAGACGCTGTGGTGTATGATTTTCGTCTGAGTGTGTTATTTTCATTAATCCAATTCATTTGTAAAAAATATATAAAGTCTGGTACGTCAATTACCATGTAATATGGTTAATAACGTTTCAATGACTTAAATTATTTGATAGAATCATTTATATAAGCTCCAAGCTATGTGATTTTTTTGTATTTGAACTGAAACTAAACTTAATATTAGTATCTACATTCGGTCCGATAACATTGTAGTATTACCACCACGGGGCGATTTTCGGGGTTATCTACGTATATATACGTGACATGGAATGCAGACACGTCTAACGTTTACAGGTGGGTGACCTGTACGATATGTATGACACAGAATGCTCAGTATCTAATATCTATAAAGGTACGTAGGCATGCCCGACCTGTAATTCCTATCAATAATAGGTTATGCAAATTGTGCAACAATGATGTAGAAAACGAGTATCATTTTTTTAATGGAATGTATATTTTATAATGATCTCAGATCTGTAATTTTTACGAAAGCAAATAATGTATATGATTTTTTTAATGATATGAACAAATTGAACATTTCAGATGCGTGATGTGTGAACACGTTCCCCAATAAACACTCTCTTATGTGGAGGAGAAGAACTATGTTTCTCCCATAATAAATTATGTATTATAATTAGATGTGCAGGTATGGGGTATATAATTTATCGGTAGGGATAGGCCCAACCACTCTTGTATATCTCTTACCCTGTTAGGGGACATGGTATTATATATATGCAAACTATAGTCCTGCTACTAGTAAAAAACAAATTACCAAGCACAATTGTTTTTACAAAGACTGGTTAATAACATTACATGTCTGAAGATAGTAAATAGTGTGATTGTTCTTATAACGTGTCTAATAAGTCATTTTGGCTAGACACATTTTATATTCAAAGGTATATGTATTGTGATTTTATGAATACTATGTGTTTGACACGAAATTAATTATTTGAACTTGATTTGAACTTGAACTATAATCTCGATATAGCATTTTGTAAACATATCCAGCCATGCAGTCATGTTTATATAATAGCCACTATCGCGGAATCTAAGTCCGTGCCACTATGTAGGTTATCTGGAGTTCTGAGTCCGTAATGAATGTGATGACGCAAACAAAATAATACTTACAGGACATAGCTATTTAAAGTCTGGTTAGCTTACAATAAGCACGGACTTAGATATCAATAAGTGAATGTTAAACTTTGTTATCTAACATGTACATATACGTGTTCAAATCTATTGAAACCCCATAACTAAAACTATATCTTATACCAGCAACCTAAAGACAAGAAATAAACTTTTTACAAATATTCTTAAAATAATTACATTTTGTAAAAAAAAAAAAAAAGACATTGTTTTCGTTCTGTGATGTCAAAGGCATATAAACTGAAATATTCCTTTCGACTGGTCCCCTTTCTGTCTATTTTGTCATAGATAGAATCTCGAATATCAGATTGCAAGTGTTTCGTTTTCACTGAATCGGGCCAGTTTATCGCAGATGTTTTCTCCGGTGATATGTGTGGTAATTATAAATAGATTTTGACTTAGGAATATTCAGATTTCGCACAGGCTGCAGCTGTGCAGAACGCGTTATCGGGTAAGATATAGCTTTATCTCTAGATCTGCGACCACCAAGCCGCTCAGGAATGTGTGCATATTTATATAGGATGAAAACGGTTAGTGATACATGCAGTCATTCACGAAATATCAGTCGAAAGCTACTTTTTTTAAATAGACACTCATGAGAACAAACAACACATATGCTAACGTCAATGCTACAACCCTATTCAAATAAAGACTTAGCATTGACGACATGCCTAGGGCCCTGAGATTGTGTTTGACAGCATGTGTATTTGGACTCATTCTGAAATGTAGGGCATACAATAGATGTTTTTGTAGTTTAGGTCAACACTGTGTAAACATGTCAAAGTTGGTATAAAAAACATACATGTTGTAATTAATCGATGAATCTGCGTGTCCCTGTGTATCGACCGAGCTCCATATTTACGATCGAAAATAGAGTGACAGCACTTAGTTAATTATACATAATTGATATAGTGCATGAAACAAGAGACCTACGAAGATGTGTACATACCTCTGAACGGGACACGTAAAGCTGAACGATCCCCCTTACCGCAGTACAATATCGACACAAATAATTGTACAATGTGTTATGGCTAATGTACTGCTTATACGTATATACGGCACATTTCACATGGAGATCAATGGACTTTGAGCTCTCTTACAATATCAAGTACAGGTATTTTGAAGCTATATCGTGACCCCAAACCCAGGTTCCCTAACGTTGTTTACAATTTGACAGTAAGAAGAGTACTATGTAGGTAGGTGTATAGGTATTTATATGTATGTACATTATATATAGACGCTAAAAGTAAACATTATTGCATGTAGCACAAAAACAATCGAAAAGGACCATGCAAAAAAACTGACACAATTTTTAGAGTTATTATACAAATATACACGTACCTAGAGGTCTGTCCTGCGTCTCGAATATCCTGCAGTGTTCAAACTGGTTATAATGAAGCGTACTGAGTTATAAATAGATACCCGCGCAGCATTGTACAACAAAGCAATAAATCGAGTGTAGACTGTCACAGCTAATCAATTCCGTACTAAGCTTTAACCTACGGTGGCCGCCGGCGGTACTGGTGTAATATATAGGGTCTGTGCGTTAAAGCTTTACTATTTGCTCGGTAAAATCTTAACCTAGGCAGATAGAACAGTACCGTAAGACAGGTGTGACATAAGCTTTAGAACAGGCAAAAGATCATCTGTCATGTATTAGCTTTAAGGCAATTCAAGCGTTAACATGCAGGACGTAGGCCTAGAGCATTTGCTTTTATACGGGTAAAAGCACAGGGACATGGATCGCTTTACTTGTAATATTAAAAAATAGGGGTCTCCTATACTAATCCCTATTTTTTAATATTACAAGTAAAGCGATCCATGTCCCTGTGGATATACATACATATAGTACAATTTACCACGGAATTAGATCAGTTATCTAAGTCCGTGAATTCATCATGGTGTTGATGGACAGTGTTAGTTCGCTCAATTATGTGCTAAGGGAATTTTATAAGTGAAGTTAATTCTTCATTATTGACATAATTAAATAATGTATTTGAACTTGAAAGTACTAGGACTTTCAAAATAATATCTCGACATCAATTTTCTTCTGCTTTGCAGTATCTTGTAATCATTACAATTAAACAAAAATGATATTCGTCTCCATTTTCATTCAGGTCGCAAAGAACACATTTTCTATCTACTCCATGTTATTCCATCTACCACAGTCAATCGGAAATTTAGCATTACAAATTCTAAATTTACAATAGACATTTGATAGTCTTTGGACGGGGATCTAGCAGGTATTTTTCTAAAACTAAGTCATTTTTAAAAATTCTGTAATTGGTTTCTTTAGGTAAATTGAAAACATTTATCTTTGAGTGTATGGAAAACTGTATTTTTCAACCCTTGGATAGCTTGGAATTCTTGACTTTCAAACATATGTATTAAATTACATTCGTCAAAGATATTTTTAATACAATTAGACCATTGAGTATTATAGTTTATAATAATCTTATACATTTTATTACTTAATTTATTAGGTATTGGTTCTAAAAAATCCGAACATTCGAACTTTGATATTTATATTCAGAGGAAATCTTCCTAGTTCTCCATAAATCATGAAATTGGGTGTCAATTTTTTCTTACCTGAAGAATATGTTTACAGAATTTCAAATGTAAACGTTCTAAAAGGTTGTAATCACAAAACCCCCAACCTTCACAACTATACAACATGACAGGCTTTATAGCTTTATCGAAAATACCTAATTTACAGTCAAATGCTAGATTATGGTCGCTGCATTTAGCAATAGAAACCATACATTGCTTTAAGGCCCTTATCATATAATTGTGAATGTCTGATATTTAACTGCGTGAAACCATTTTAAGTAAAATGAACACCAAGATATTTGATTTTTTTCACAATTTCTACTTCATTTCTGTTTCAAGTAAAACGTATATTTTGAGATACTCTCCCTCTACTTAATATCATCACTTTTGTTTTATCGATATTTACTTTAAGATGCCACAATTTTGAATAATCATTAAACACATTAAGTTGTTTATATAAATCTTCTGGTGTGTCTGTTTACAAAATAAAGTCATCAGCATATAACATTACAACCAAAATCGTCACGGCGTCAACAAGCCGATTTCAGAAAGAAAACGCCCACAAACCGAACGGTTGTTTCAGCGTGTCACTCACTGCATCTGGCTCGACGATTGGTCGATACAACGATTGAGGTCGGTGTCATCCTTGACCTACTCGACATCCAGGAGTTACGCTCACTTTCGTTCTCTACACCCCTGGAATATGTCATAGCAAAATTGAAGGCTCAGTGTGTGTCACCTTCTCGATGAGACAATAAGACTAGTTCGATCCTTTGATATACATCAAAAGAATTTCGGGTCACGTAACGGTAAAAATTGACATGCTTTGAAGTCGGGTGTCTCTCCTTTGTAATCTTCAAAGGACAGTTATCAGTCTAGCGATTGGTCAGGTTTCTTTTACCCGAGACCAATCAAACAACTATCTTCGTGCCTTCAATTTTACTATGACATGGGTAATTATCCTACCAGAGACGTATACTAATGTATTATACGTCTCTGATCCTACCAAGCTGTAATTCTGAAAAAAGACTTATCAAACAAGTTCAGTGATTACTCTCGGAATAAAATCAGCTCAATCAGGGAAAATATTGCCGAAGTGAACTCTTCTGCTGACAATGATATCTCTGTCATTACTGCTGACATTAAATTTGATGAGGGCCCATTGGCAAAGCTCTCACCAACTACCCAGGACGAGTTGCGCAATATCATCATGACCTCGCAATCGAAGTCCTGTGAGCTTGATCCACTGCCTACAGATCTATTAAAGCAATGTCTTGCTTCCTTTGATTACCTCAATCATGGACAAATCATTGGCTGAGTCAAGGGTTCCATTTTGTTTCAAGAAGGCACATGTTAGACCATTGTTAAAGAAGCCTGGAATGGACAAGAAAGAACTACCGCCAAGTTTCAAACCTGCCTTTTCTGTCTAAGATCTTAGAGAAGGTTGTGTCCCGGCGATTAGAGGTTCATCTCAATGCAAACAGTCTCCATGACAACATGCAATCGGCCTATCGCATGAGACACTCTACCGAGACGGCCCTCCTACGTGTACATAATGACATAGCTTCTGCATTGGATAACAAGTGCAGAGCGGTGCTTGTCATGCTGGACTAGTCAGCTGCATTTAACGTCATCGACCATGGCTTTCTTTATAAACGTCTGTAGTACTCTTATGGAGTGACTGATACCGCACTATGCCGGATACAGTATACAGTTGTTTCATGCCTTATCAGTCAACAGTCAAAACTATTTTCCCGCAGGCCGAGGGAAACAGTTCATTTGGTGGGTCCCAACTCCGAGGAAAAAATGTTTTTTACTGTTGACTGAAAAGGCATGAAACAACTGTTTTGTTACTTGACCAATGAAAAACCAAAAAGTCCTATGTCGAATGTGCTGTTTAGATCTACCGACAGACGACCGTCAACAATCCAGTACCAAAAACGCTTGATCATCGGGGTGCTTGTAATTATAGGTGCGTTCGATTATCTAACATGTGACCAGTCAACAGTTTTACGGTGACCAGTCAACAGTTTTACGGTAGCACACATTAGCTATAGTTCGTTTGGTGAATTGTCTGGGAAACAGTCGAAATTGATTAATATGCAGTTATATAGCGAGTCAGGTAACAATATTATCTGAGTGAACGACGACAGTGTGTTGTCATCGGATCGACCACCTCAGATGACAAAGTGCTAGATTTCGGGGTTCCTCAAGGGCCGGTGTTAGGACCACGCAAATAGTACATGTACTCCAAACCGATTGGAGAGATTTGTCGTCGCCATAGCCTTCGCTATCATTGCTATGCGGATGACACAAATTAGCATGGTCTTCAAACCACAGGACAGTTGGGATACAGTTTCAGAAAATCTGGAAGATTGTCCGACAGATAAAAGTACCTGGATGAACGCCAACATGCTAAAGCTTAATCAGGAAAAGACGGAACTAATCGTCTTTTCCCAAAAGTGTCAGCAAACAATGGTTCTCCAGCCCAAGGTCGGTGCCAGAACTATTGAGACTGTACCGGGGCTGTTTAAATCCTAAGGATTTTCTTTGATAGTTCACTGAATATGGAGAAACATGTGAACACTAATGCCAAATTCTGTTACTACCAGATTAGGAACGGCTGTATTCGGCAGTTTATAACTGAAGATGCATGCACGATTTAGGTGTATTCACTTCTTGTTACCTCTCTGTTGGATTATGGTAACGCCCTGCTCTGTGGCATATCTGACAAACTAACTAGTCGTCTGCAGAGGGTCCAGAACACTGCAGCACGGCTGGTTACTCGTACTCGAAAGAGAGAGCAGGTCACACCTGTGCTATATTCATTGCACTGGTTACCTGTACGATACAGGTCGCAGTACAAAATTTTGGTGTATACAATACAAGGCACGGAATGGAACAGCTCATCAGTACCTACATGAGCTTGTATCAGGCGTCACGATCACTGCGGTCGGAGTCAGAATCATTGTGTGACCCAATTTCTCGTACTGTGACCTATGGAAACCGGTGCTTTGGGAGGGTTTTGCCCACGTTGTGGAATAGCTTACCATCTGCTATTAGAAAGTCAAACACCCTGGCCAAATTCAAGAGGGACATCAAAACTCACCTCTTCCCATCTCTATTTTAGGGTCTCTGCAAAGACGTCCTGCAAATACCACCCTTTATTTGTTTAATTACATGTTGTGTGTGTATGTGCACATTGCTTGCTTAAATGTTTGAAAGTGTTTGTAAGGCTTTGTTTTTGTTTCACAATTATAACCATTAATATTATCCATATGTTGTAAAGTGCTTTAGAGTAATTTTACAAATTATATAGGGCGCTATATAAAGGTTGTATATTATTATTATTATTTATATGGACAAAACCTTTAAAATTTAGTCCAATAGTCTTAGCATAGAAACAAGTAGTCATAAAACATAATTATATGTTTTCAGGGTTTAGATCGACTTTTGGTAAAAAGCAATAAATCATAAAATAATATATGAATAAATAGATCGATAGATAAATCAATCAATAAATATTAGGCATTTTTGTACATTGAACCACTACTCATTTTAAATCATGTCAGCTCATCTATTACATGTACCCTTAAGCAAGTTTAGGACACCACGGACAAAATCCATCCCTCATGAGATAGAGAGTTGGGGTGAGAAAACGTGTCACCTATGCCCATATGTTTTGCACGATTTCTCATCCGGGTGACAAATCGTGTCTGGGTGAAAAAATCGTGCCGTAACAAGCTTTTTTTAAGGATGTACTCTTCTGAGGTTTCAGTCACGTTCAAGTCTCGTTTTGATCTGGTGTAACGGGTTTTTGTAATATTTAACAAATTATGATAATATAATAGCAAACACACATCTAAAAAACATGTAAAAAAAACCTAGATGTCTGTTGTGTGTAGAACATTTTTTACAAGAATTTTTAAAAAATGACCAATTTGGCGGCCATTTTGAAAAAGTGTATTTATGTGAATTTCTTGCGCTTCACAAAGGGCCAAAATTCACCTTTTTTGACACTAGATTGATCACTTAAATTGTCATTGTGTCACCATTTTTAATTGTAGCAGGTTCAATTTTGCTGTACAACTTTATAATGTTCAATATGATCAAAATAATATGCAAAAAAGTGGAAAGTTATATATTATTGATATTTTTTTTACATATTAGGGTAACTGAAGCACTTTTGATTTTTGACCCCGAAAAAGGTGAAAAATAACACAAATAATAATGGGACAAAAAAAGAAGCACACCGACCCCCCATTTTTGTGGCTGTTTTAGAAAGAGAAACTCATTTTCTTTCGATTCATTGAATACTAAAAAAAGTTTATTACAGGAATTTTTATATCAAGCGTTTCATCGGCAAAAAATGGTGAAAAATGTGCATTTTTTCATTAAAAAATAAGGGGAAGGGGTAACTAAAATCGCATTTTTGAGTAAAATGAATAAGTTTAAGACATTTTACTTCCATAGTTTCAAAGAAAATAATATTTTTTATCAATTCTACAAACATTCATACATATCTGATAACACACTTGGAAGAAATTGTATGAATTTGTTCTGCCAATGGTCAAAACCCGAAAATTCACCTAAAATCACATATTGTGTTAAATTGGTATCTTTGACCGATCATAGCACAAAAACGAACACACCGACATTAGTTTTTTTTGCATTTTCTAATATGCCATTATCTCCTTTTTCCAAAAATCAATATAAGAAAAAAAGTTTAATACAGGAATTTTTTGACTTCTCAGAGGTGTACATCCTTAAGTGTGTAGTCTGCTCGCGTGTCAGGGGCAACGGAAGCGCCGTGCGAGTACGGCATGCTCTAGGTGTTTCTGTGGAGTACATGGATGCGCTATGTCTTGCAAGACACAGATGCCGTCGTAAAGACTAAATAAATATACATTTCATTATTTCTATGCATGTTTTGTGGTTTTCTGTTTGGACAAATTGGTACATGTAACGCGAAAACTTCAATGAGGGAGCTTTTGTAATAATACTTCAAACTTGACAAATACATATATTGTACTTGACAATACATGTAACATATACTTTCATTGGTGTACATTGACACATTTACCAACGAACACTGTTGAGGAAAAAAAATCCATTTTGTAACGATTTTCATTCTGGAGACTTCAGGTTGACATGATGTGACGTCGTCATCACTTGGCCCATTGTTCAATTGTTCTACGTCATATATTTTCAAATCACATTTTGATCAAAATTTGTCATGGCACTCTCTAAGGAGATCCCTGTGGCACTCTAAGGGACTTGCTCTGTCTTTTATTAGGTAAGGTTCAAATGTGACTTTAGGCGTGTATAGGTTTGAAATGTGGTACAGGAAGATATTTTATATATAGAATAAGATAATAAATTTGTCAGATCGACCGCTAGGCCTTTCTGCCTTCTAGGGTTTCTTCAGACGGATTGATATGTGTTTATCACAGTTGGTTTCATTGTAAAAATCATTGTGCATTCAAGCTGGGTTTACGGGCTTTTATAAATATTTTTTCTTTAAATTCTCTTGCAACTACATCGTCGCTATTCAGTTTGTAAATAGGTAACACATACAAATCATCTTTAGAACCTTGATGCATATATTTGCTGACTTTTAAAAATCTTAGTTCATTGTCCTTCATTTGTTGTCTATGTACATTCATTCGTAGTCTCAATTCACATCCGGTCTGTCCGATATAAAATTCACCACAATGTTTATATATTAAAGAGTAAATAACATTCTTAGAATTACAGTTAATTTCCGATCTAATTTCTATTTTGGAACCAAAGAAGGCAGAAAGGCCTAGCGGTAGGAAATGACAAATTTATTATTTTATTCTGTATTTTTCTTTGCAATGACTTGTTTCTTTATTATCTACTATATATATAATATATATATATAATCACACTTTTCCTGTAATTTCTCCTTGAACAGGCTGAGACCCAAGTCTGAACTTCCCTGTCTATTTTTTCAAATGAATAAGGTCCCAAATAAGGTTTTTAAAATATTATTCAATATTAAATTTAATAACATTTCATTTTGATTTGAAACACACATGAACCTTTAAAGATTTACTAGGATAGGTAGTGCCTATATTGGATCCCTCTCACAGAAAACATTCTAATACACATATCAACTCCCTAGAAATTCTTAAAGCGATGTCTATATAATAACTCAAAATATGTCTTGCTAGATTTATTAACTCATTACAGTGGAGATTTGGTATCTAAAAACTCTTATGAAAACATATTTCGAAAAAATGTAACTTCATCATTTTTACAGATTTTGAATTTGTTATACAATCTACTAAGGTACCGACTGTATCTTGTCTGCATCACAATCTTTTCAACCTAATCTGGAAACCTGTATAAACCAACCTTCAGTCACATCTGTGTATACATGACTGTTCAAGTTGAACCTGTCTGATCCAATAATGGTTTAGTCTGTATCAATTTAGACTTGTTCCACAGTTCGGAACCATACCTTACCAGGCTATGGCATAATATGGGCATACTATCTTCCACATATTAAGCAACCATTCTTAAGTGCATTTAATGCAAATATTTTGTTCCTTCCTCAAACAGCTTTAGAACTTTTCTCTAAAAAAGATGGCTGTGTGAAAATCACACATACTATCACAGATAATTAAACAGTGAAAGCAGTCACATTTCAGATGTTACAATGCATATTACATGGATCATGTTTCGTGCTAGCAGTCACTCATCATTCACTTTCACTTTCCATACAGTTTACATGGGTCAGGTTTCATGTAAGCAGTCACTTTGTATACTTTCACTTTCCATACAATTTACATTGGTGTCAAGTTTCCTCCATCTGTGTTGGTTGTGTTGAATTGCTACTAAACATGGCACGATATGTCTTCTGAAGCTGTTTATCTTCTTCCCGAATGGCTTGTTTACATAGAGCTAAATATTTCTTTGTTGCCGCATCTGAAAATAAAAACATAGAATAGATATGTCAAATTCAGCTTTTAAAGATAAATCAGAAATGAATAGGAATTAGTCAGCTGTAAAAAAAACAAAAAAAACTTATAGAGTATGTTTTTTTCAATCTGATTAAAATCATCTGTTACATGGCTCCGCCTGAACTACGAAGTTAACGAAGCCATGTAACATATGATTTTAATCAGATTTGGGTTTTTTCAGCATTAATTCTGCAGAAACATTTCAAATATCAATAGCTGTTCTTTCCTAACTGATAAATCTGTAAATTTTTTTTTATAAAAATGGTCTGCAGACAAAAGTAAACGACACAAATCATTGACCACAACAGAATAAAAAAGGCCAGCTTATTTGTACATGTGCACACCAAGCACTTGAAAGGTAGATTAGCTAGATCGCATCCTCGACACTCCAGGGGTTATGCTCACTTCGCTCTCTGTACCCCTGGAATATGTCAAAGCATAATTGAAAGAAGCGAGAAGACCAGTTTGATCCTTTGATGAATCTCTTGGTGGCCTAACGGTAAAAGTCGGTCGGTCGCGGCTCCTCTGTAATCTTCAAAGGACAAGTATTACCCCAGTGATTGGTCAGGTTTTTTCACCCGACACCAATCAAAATTCAAATAGCTAGCAGTGTGCCTTCAATTTTGCTATGACATATTCCAGGGGTGCAGAGAGCGAAAGTGAGCATAGACCCTGAATATCGAGGATCATGGCTAGATGGGTGCTTTTCTCACTTAGAATATAAATGTTGCACCGCATACTAACCAAATAAAGCAAGCCAATCATGTTTACTTTTACCATGTTTTGCCGCCTGTTCATAAAGCATTCTTTTTTAAACAACTTCATAAAACTTGAAGTCAAAGACATTCCTCATTCACATAAAAACAATTCAAAGCAATCAGAATTCAGCAAATTTAATTGAAATTAAAGGAGATGCATTAACAATTTCTAATAGCTTATAAAAAGAAATCCGGAAAAGTTCACTTTTCAGCTTTTAACTAATTAATCATTATTCAAGGGATAGGATATTCTATTTAAAATCCATAAGTGGCAAATCCTTCATATCAGAGTTCTATTTTTCTTTGGCAAATTGTAATGAGCAATATTAACAAAGGGACATAACTCTTTATAGTATGGGACACTATGTATGTACACTTCCAAGCAGTATTCAGATAAAAAATATAAAGTCTTGCCCTGGATAATTCTAGTGAACAAAGGGCCATAACTCTTAATAGTAACTCATAAGACCAGCCTTCATTTTATGTTACACTCCACCAACAGGTACTCGCATACAAACTTTGGCAGTTATACGTGACAAGATAGTTTGAGATATGCCCAGGACAATGTAACACTGATGGAAGATACAAAACCCTATAATCCCCTCTGGCAGATTTAGTAAAGACTAATTAATGTACATAAATACTTGATGTAAAAGCAGAGAACGCAAATAGCAACAACAGACAACACTCGCTTCAATTGATATCCTGTATAACAGTCCCAACTGCATAACTTATCCTGGTCGACCATGATGAATCTAAAAGACTAGAAACAAAATCATTGCCGACCAAGATAACTGATACATATGAACTTGAGTTCACCATGGTTTAGGCCTACCAAGATTGAAAATGGTTGTCTCTTGTCTCGATGGGTATACCATGGTTTAATTGAAACGACCCTGGTCAAAATTTAAAAAGATCACGATTTGACAATATAGATGTTCATCCTATGCTCACCATTAGAGTGGTTAGGTCGACCAGTGAAAACCACACTTTTCTTTCACCAAGATTGGCAGTTTTACTCCCCAATCAGACCTGAAAAGGTATTGGGTGACCTACTCGACCACATGTGGTGTTTTTGTTCATGTACTCCAATTTCCTGGCGCCCACAAGAGTGATTAATTTAAGTTGAAATTTTTCTTTGTTTTGTAGTGGAACTGGACTGGGTCCATCGTCCCTACCAGGTAGTTCAATTGGTAGAGCGTTCGTCTAGAGTTCAGAGGGTCCCAGGTTCAAACCCCGGTCTGGCCGTTACATTTTCTCTTTCTCCTGTTACAAAATTGGTGAGCTTGCCAGCCCTTGTTTCAGGCATTGGGAGTATGCTTATGAAGGCGATACCAAAACTTAAAATGTAAATAGTTGTGTCTTTAGGGGCGAAGACTTAGAAAAAGGAGGGAGCAATGTAACGGAACTTGACTGGATTGATCATGGGCGACCAGGTTAAGCTCAATTGGTAAAGCGTCCGTCTAGAGTTCGGAGGGTACCGTGTTCGAACCCCGGTCTGGCCGTTACACATTCTCTATCTCCTGTAACAGTTTTATATTTTACAACCATTGGTTGACTTAGTCGAGTGTCTCTAAATGGTTAATTCTGCCATCTGGTTACTTTGTTAGTGTTGTTGTTACCTGTTCCATTTAAACTAAGGAGGATAGCTTGAGCCTCGTCGTACTGCTTCAGGTGGTAAAGAGCGACTCCCTTACGGTGTCTGGCCTTGCTGTTGGACGGCTGGTCCTCTAGAACTTGATCACAGTACTCCAGTACTTTCCTGTAGTTAGTGGCCTCCTGGTGTAGTAGACATGCTGTGGTAAACAATATATATAAACATTTCATTGGAAGACTTCAACATTTTACCATGAGGACTAATAAAACAAGCGGTAGCCCCACATACAGGTAAATCATATGTAGCGAGACAGCGCTGGGGGAACCACTATTGACCTGGTAGCTCAGTTGCTTTTAATAAAAGAGTGTCCCAATGAAAAGCCTTTTCTGGTCCTGTGACCTTTTCCCAGAGTCTACTGTTACGTATATACCCATGCATATATATATTACTACCTGCCTGAAGGTTTTACTAATGATTTGAACAAACTTGAATCTCTGCCCATAGTTAACGTCCTAGTATCTACTATGTATATAGTGACCCTCCGAAATCTATACGGACGTTCTAACTAATTCAGCTACCTGGTAACCAGTGATCAAGATAGTCTAGTTCCACTTAACTATAAATATGTCTCAAGATAAAAATTCTTTATTAAGAATATTTAATATCACTTTCCGTTACATTTAATATTACTGTAGCGGACCTTGACTGGGTCCATCATAAGAGACCAGGTAGCTCAATTAGTAGAGCATCCATGCCTCCAAGAGTTCAAAGGGTCCCAGGTTTAACCCTTTCACCACTGTAGACAATAATGTACTCATCCATATCAATCCATGGTAGAGTCTACTGAAGTTACATAGGGGTGAAAGGTTAAACCCTGGTCTGGCAGTTACATTTCTCTTTCTCCTGTCAAAAAATTGGCGAGCTTGCCACAACCGTTAACGTTGTTCCAAGCACGGGGTGAATGCTTAGCAAGGGGTTAATACCCGAACCCGAGCTGTAAATAGTTAAAAGTCTTCTGGGCAAAGATTAAGAAAAAGGAGGGAGGAATGTAGGGAAAATAATGGACTGGGTCAATCGTCTGTGACCAGCTCTGAAAAAGGTAGCTTAATTGGTAGAGTGTCTGTCTAGAGTTCAGAGGGTCACTGGTTTACATATGATACCTACATGTATATTAGGGATCAATCTAGACTTGATTCACTAGCATTTAATATTGTGTGGTTTCCCCTAAAAGTTTTAGGGGAAACCACACAAAATTAGGCTAAACCCTAGATTGATCCTAGTCCGAATTATTCTGACGTTTTATCGACTTTTTTCATATCGGTCTGTCGTTAATCGATGACAGACCGATATGAAAAAAGTCGATAAAACGTGATAATAATTCGGACTTAAGATTGATCCCTGCATGTACATGTGATGTGTGCTAAATATTTTCAATACATTCACAAAAGTTATGCAGTCTGCATTTACATATATATTGAGTAAACACCACATGATCAAGTCCTGTCTAAAGATTTCAGTTTCTCTGAGGTTCATCAGAGTTCATCACTATTAAACATATGTATTTACATAAAAGTACTTTGTGTACTACAAAATCCTACTCAGTACTGTTACTACTGTAGAAATAAAACAGCTGTTCACACTGTATATATACCTGTGCAATCATAGCACGTGTAGTGACGGTGTACGCACAAGGTCAGTAGACCAACTATATGTGTACCTATAGCTATCGATGTGTACCTATATGTAGGCATAGCACATGTATAAACACATATAAACAGTGCTGTAGCTCTGTAGAGCGTCCAAATTTTACGTATTGTACCATTGTAGGTTAGCAGACACAGATGATTTGATGACCAGTAATTCATTAGGCAGTGATTTTCATACATAAATCAATATACCTGCTAAATTATTGTAACAGTCCACTCTCAAAGAGGTAAACAAATCTTTCATGTCGTCGGACAGTTCTTGTGAAGAAAGAGCCACCGGCACCGGCATCAAGGCAGCACATTTCTTTTCACTTCCAACAGCTTTCAGCTGTAAAATGGCCCTGTGGTATTTCCCGATAGCCTTCCTGATGTCTTTCTCCTTGTAGAAAGCATTGCCATCAGCTTTAAACGTCGCAGCTGTCCTGATCTTTTCTTCATCACTAATTTTTACACTGGCTCCCTGCATTTTCACTACAGCACTAGTTACACATGGATGAAGGGAGATCACTCGTGTCGGTCTGAACATTAAGGTTTCAAGACAGCTATTTTCTGTACAGTTCATCAACGTAGTGTATTTGAACATGAAACACTGTTTTGAAAACGATATTTGATTATTTATTGCTTGAATACATTACTACCAAGTTGAATACAATTGCAACAAAAATGATAAATTTCAGCTATTATCCTGAATACTGAGCTATTATTGGTGACTTGAATTATGATACATTTATAAATTCAATTCAATTCAAATTTATTTGCACATTTGTAACTACAAAGTAGCTTGAAGGCAAAATAGTAAAACACAGTGAAATACATACATAGACATGTAGAAAAGTCTCAAAGTGATTACTTATATTTCTAATATACACATGAACAAAATTAACATAGCTTCAAATAGAAAATTTGATTTAAACATTTTTAGTTGCAAAGTCCATATCTTATACTGTCAGCAAGCCCACTCTCCTCAGTTCTAGAGACTGTTTAATGAATAAGCAAGAGTCCAGTATAAACTGTGAGTTGTTTGTAGATAATATTGAGGTCAAATAATTGGTATCTAAGGTAACATCATTGTGATCAGGAATACATTTTTGGAAATATTCTTAATTTTCTAACACACCACATTTTTTACAGAGTCTCTGGTCTCTTGGTATACTTTTGAGACGCCCCATGGCTAGCTTCAGCTACACGAAATGTTCAAATACACGAAATGAAGTAAACATTTTCCTTAAATTACTACTGTTATATATGTTAAGGTATTTTTCAGGGACATACTCCACCTTTAAGTCTTTATACATAAATAATTTATTACTCTCGTTTAAAAGTTTTTGTTTATTAAAGATTCATTTTTTTTTTATATATTTTGCTTTATTTTAATTTTAAGTTGGTATATTTGTAATTACCTAACAATGCGTCAGGATCCTGTATAATTTGATGTAAATCATTGTTTAATGTAATATCATTAGCATAACTAAACCAGGTATATGTGCCATTTTCATGTAAAGTTTTATTTAATAGATAAGCCTCCTTTATCAAAGGGTTTAAATTGTCTGAATCTTGTCTAGTATTCTACTTTTGGTATAAATCCATGCACCATACTTCTGCACTATAAGCCAGGACTGGTTTTACAAAGGATTGAAAGAGTTTACACTGGGAAGTTTGTGATATTTTCTGCATAATTTTTTTATTGCAAAAAGAACTTTGAGACCTTTGTTGGACAATTCCTACAGACGGTGTAAATTTACCTGCTGTATTTATCAGGTTACCAAGATATTTATATTATTTAGTTATGTCTATATTATATTTCACAATATTAAATTTGTAGTTTTTGATAACATGATTTGTTGAATTGATTACCATTGCTTTTGTTTTCTGGGTATTTATTGAAAGTTTCCATCTATTTGCAATATGTATATAAGTTATTTAATGATTTTTGAAATCCCTCGGCTCTTTCAGACAATATTACCAGATCATCTGCGAACATAAGGCAACCTATTTCCGAGTCGACAAGCTTTAAAGGATCATTTTTTTAATCGATCAGGAAGATCATTTCATATAAATTGAACAGAGAGGGACTCATACTATCCCCCTGCTTGAGTCCTCTAAAACTATCAAAGTAATCGGAGAAGAACGAATTAATTTTAAGACAGACAACCTTTTCTTGTACATATTACTAATGACTTGAAAGAGTTTGCTGCCGATGCCATATCTAACTAACTTATAGAGCAAACCTTTTCTCCATACCGAGTCAAAAGTCCTGTTAAAATCAACAAAACAGGTAAATACCTTTTTCTTTTGTCCATAAACATACTTGGTAGTGAGAGATTTAAGTACAAATAAGCTATCTGTGGTTCTTTGCTTTTTCCTGAAACCAAATCGAAGGTAGGATAACTTACCTGCCATAAATTCAGTGAGTCTTTTGTTTAAAATAGAATTAAACAATTTACTGAGACAACTAATAAGGGATATACCTCTATAATTAGTTGGCAGGCTTTTATCTCCAGCTTTAGATATAGGAACCAAGTGTGATCTGCCCCACCTTTCTGGATAGTAACCACAATTTAAAATGATATTGCATAGTTTTGATAGATTATTCAGCATAACTGGAGAAGAGTGCTTTATGACCTCGTTTGTTATATTATCTGGGCCACAACTCTTGCCACATTTGAGATCTCGAATTGCCTGTTTAATCTCCTTCACACTAATAGCTTGATCAGTTATAAGTTTAGTATCAAAATTTGTAATTAGAGTGTCCAATTCTTGAGAAATCCTGGATTGACCTTTTGTTTGCGACCCAGGTTCTAAAGTGATCAACAAAAGCAGACCAGTTAACAGGGTCGACATTTTCTAGTTGATTTTTATTAATAGATTTAAGAAAGGCCCAAAACTGTTTAGAATCATGCGCTGGAATATTATTGAGTTTACATGGTAGATTTTCTTTATATATATTTTTCTCTGCCTTTGTAATTGCCTTCAATTTCTTTACCGTAAAAAAGAAACTGGCATGCAGTTCTTTATTAAATGTCTGTTTTGTCATTTCTGACCTAGATTATTTACTGTGCTCCGTACACTAAAGAACTCACATCAGTCCACTGTGACCGTTTCTTCCTTTTTTTCTTACATTTAAATTTTGTAGTCATACAGGATTCTTGCATTACACTGTAGATATTACATATTTTTTCAGAAGCTTTATCAATACTTTCCTCGTTATCCACAATATGCATCTCTTGAAAGTCAAGGATTTCATTTTGTAGGTATGGTAAAGTAAGACTATTTACCAGTTTTCTCTAGACATGTTGTTACTCACATATTTCTTTAAAGTTTGTAGCCTGGGCTTTTTAAGTCCACCAAACCTGACATTACAAGATAGTGTGACTCTTTTTTAACATGATCTGATAAATATGAAGGTTGTTTCACAGTAAAATAAAATTGAAGTGCTGAACGTTATCCTTCATGTAATAAGTCAGCGAGGATCTTGTTTACCAACGTTTTCGTAATGATTTCACAAGCGGATGCATACAGACCAGAGGGCTAATTTTGTCGTAGACCTAATGTTGATCCAGGAACTGTGCAAGATCAAAGGAATAGAGAAATCCTGGATCACTCCGTACCACCACGGACTTAGATAGCAATCTAATTCCGTGGTACCACCCATGGGAAATAGGATGTGCGAGAGGTTTAACCGAAACGTAATGGGCAAGCGGCACACTGGATTTGCACCAAAATGCTGATTAAAGAAAACATGTTACCCCATTGGAAAATGCCCATGATATTATTATTTATACCATTTCACGTTCGTGTTTAGGAGACCACCAAGGGTACATGTAAGCCTAGCTTTTGGAATTCCAAGACGCGATAAACACCAGATCGAGTGTCATTCAATATACATAGAGTATCTATGGACTCGACTCAGTCATCCTACGAGCTGGCCAGCAAGACAATAGAAAAGGCAAAGTACAGACAGAAAGATCATTATGAAAGGGGAGTGACAGAAGAAACAGGAGACCGGGTCATAGTAAGTAAGGAAGCTTGTCCTTTAAGGAAAGCACAAATTATAATTAGTAAACAAGTGGGAGGACACTGCATGTAACCGGTTATATATAGTTAAGGAGAGACCCAACCCTGATGCTCCTGTAATAATAATGAATGCTTACTACACTAGGATTGTTCCTTTGGTGGTAGCAGACCATAAATAATAACCCAATCTACTTACAGTTTTAACATGTTTGCATGACAACAACTCGATTAATTTTTACACGCAGGGACGTCGGTAGTACATCGCTCAAAGTATATCTGTTTCTCAGGTCTTCTTCTTCTTTTCCAAATTCCGGCCACCTTCGACGTGTCAAAGATTATGCCAGTTTGTGCGTGCGCACATTAATATTAAAAGTTTAAAGATCAGATTCAAAACTGGATAAAAGCAGTGGAAAGGATTTAGTTGATATGCTGGGTCACTTGAGACTTAAAGATCGCAAGTGATGTTGCTGAGGCAATATCAGGTGGCAGGCTGTTCCAGTCCCTCACTGTATACAAAGAACGACCATTTCCTGCAGTCTTTGTTTGTAGACTGTGTTGGTGTGAATGCCTTGATGTCCTGGTTGGCTTGCTGAAGTACTTTTGGTGGTCAATGTCTACTTTGTTGTTCATAATATCATACATCATAGACAAGCGTGCTTTTTTCTACGTTCTTGTAATCTGGGCCACCGCAACTGTTCTATCATCTCCCCCAACACTCGATCTGTTTCTGTACTTGTCCATTACATATCTTGCTGCTCTTCTCTGTATTTGTTCTAGCTGGTTTATCTGTCCCTGTTGGTATGGGTCCCATATTCCAGTTGGGCCTGACTAGTGACTTGTATGCTCTCTATCTTTGATGTTCCTAGGGGATATGTGGATGTTTCGTCTGGGAAAACCAAGTGTTCTGATGGCTTTATTACATATGTTGTTGACGTGAGTTCCCCAGTTGAGATCAGAAGTTATGGTACAGCCTAGATATTTTGTTGATTTATCGTGTGCCCGAAAACAATTGTGTAGAGTGTAGTTGTAGTTAATTGGATGACTGCATACCTATCCGGATGAAAGTCCATTTTCCACATTTGTTCCGAGGTTGCCAGTTTATCTGTCGTTTTGAAGAAGTTTGCAGCCGTGGTCCGAATTTATGGTGAGGTAGGCTATGGTGTCATCAGCAAGCAAACGAACAGTGGAGTGTAGGGAAGATGCTATGTCGTTGATGTAGAAGAGGAAGGCTCGGCCCAAGTACTGAGCCCTGAGGGACCCCAGAGTCAACGTTGGCCTCATCTGACATTTCACCCTCTACAGCAAAAACCTGCCTTCAGTTAATTAGGAAACCCTCTATCCAGCGTAACGTGTTCTCTCTAATACCATAGTGGTGTAGTTTGTGGAGCAGTAAGTTGTGTGAGACTTTATCGAAAGCTTTGGAGAAGTCGAGAATTAGCAGATCTGTTTGTTTTCCAATATCCAGGTTTTTTGTGATGTCATCTATA